GGTTAGCCAGTTTCTATCGTCCTCTTTTGGACAGTGATAGTGTTGTTTTTCCTTGCAGGAACAACTTATTATAGGTAATATTTTCTTCGTTTTTAATATACAAAGTTGCTGACTTTTATATGTAAAGATCAATCATTTATCTATTAAAATATTTAGTGTAACTATCCAAAGCAAGAGTCATACTTAAGTAACTTTAAATTTATTTACATAGTATTTTTTTTCAATAAGACGTTTGAAATCAAGAGCGTTATATATTTAAAAACGGATGAATATTACAATGAAGCAGGAGCTAATTTATAAGTATTTTTAAGTCTTAGCTGGTGTATAATTGGACTATTATTTTAGCTATCTTTTTCTTTTTCATGAATCGGATAATTAGGTAGTCGCAGTCTCACCTCCGGAGTGTAGTAAGCGAAAGTCAACAGTTACTCTCTCCGTCTCAAAATATAGATTTTTTTAATAATGTTAAGCCAAACATTTTAAATTTTGACTATTAATAGAAAAAAATAAAAAAGATGAATTACTATATTTAATGTTAAACAAACTAATATTATGCAGCTCTTTTTATTTAAAACATCTTACTTTATATATATATATATATATATATATCGTTGGTTAAAGTAGTGTCTTGAAGATTATGTTGATCTATTATTTATATTTTATTATTTATATTTTATGATAGAGGGAATAGATAAGATGGAACGACACAGATGAGAGAGAAAACCATGAGTAAATACCATGCATGTGATGAAGATATAATCTATTGAAAGTTCAATTTAAACTTGTCGGTTTCTACTTTTTTTTGTTCTTCTTAGAGAATGGATGTTTCCATAGATCTCTGTCTCATCCTCTGTTTTAACCTACTTATGCCAACAGTAATAGCTCCGTAGAAAAAAAAAAGAACAACTCTCAACTCGAAATCGCGAGCTTTGAATTATTCAGCACAAATATCCGTAATATATACGTGTCATTTTCAGAACAAGACGACGACCTCGAATTAACTTCTTCCGTTGGCCACAATACATTTCCACCACGGCAGATCATCAAATTTGGACAGATATATATGTAACGGTGTTTGGGTGAAGACCGGAATTGCAGTACACTTTGACATGTACACGGAATCATCAGTGAACTTTGCAAGTGTACACATATTTTCCAACGCAGGGACGGATCAAGCTGAATGAGAAGAGAGAGTGAGAGGTGAACGAAAATGCACGCAACCATAGATCATCACACGATTGTTCGTTGCGTTCTTCTTAATTGATTTGGTTTTTCTTGTAAAATCTGTGTTGAAAAAAGAAGTGTACACAGGTGTAAGAAACACACAAATAATTGAACTACGTACAGGTTTATTTTTTAGGAAAGACACCGAGATTTATTTTTTTACTAAAACAGGTACTCACTCTGTTTTTTAATAGATAACACCATTGATTTTTAGATACATGTTTGACCACTCATTTTTTAAAAATTTTTTGTGCAAATGAATGAGATATAAATCACGCTTAAAATATTTGTAGTGGTAAAATAATTCATAGCAAAATAAATGATAATTATATAAATCTTTTAAATAAGACGAATGATTAAAAGTGTATTTAAAAGTTAACGGCGTCATCCATTAAAAATGAAGGTTGTACTTTTTTTCAGTAATAAAAGAGAGGAATTAATCGTCAACGCCAGAAACAGAAAGGCGCAGCCGCAAACAAGTCCGAGGAGAAAAAAAGGAGGAAGTTATCGTACGCATGCAGGCAAACGCGGCAAATTTCTCATGTGATCTCACGTACTTGATCATGTTGCATATAATCACATCATATTTGTCGCTAATTTGATCTGGTTATATAATGCGAGTACACGTACACACGGCGTACTACGTGTTACCAGAAATGCTCCTGCATGCCCAAACCAAAAACTCACGTATATACAAATACACCCTGTATGGACAAACAGGTCAAGGCTTCCGTTGACCTGGTTAATTACGCTTAAGAATCCACTTAATTAGCTAATAATGACATGCACCCGCAGGTACTCTCCATATCGTGTGTTCAGCTCAGCGTTTACGATTCCGACATTACCTTCCGTTTCGGTCAGGCGGAATTTGGAATTTCGTGAAATCCGGTAGAAAACCGGTAAATTCCGAACAAATTTTATAAATCAAATTTACTGAGTTTGCCGACAAGTTCTCGAAAACTGGTCGATTTTGGCGAAATTCTGATCGAAATCATTGAATTTTCGATCAGTAATTTGTAATAGAGGTAATTTGCTGAAATTCTTTTCTTTCATGATGTAATTTTCAGTAAATACACAATGTATCATTTTTTTCGAAAATTTATATCCCAATAGATTCTGTGAATATCATAGTATTTACATGATTTTTTTTCTTTTTTATCAATTCAAATTTGAATTTAGATGAAACTCCTCAAAATTTTAAACGGTTTCTACGTTCGAGCCTTGTCGAAACGTCGAAATTTCGTGAAATCCGACCGGATTTCATCGGAATCGTAAAAACCTGGTTCAGCTGCCCCATCGATCACCGGACCGACGGCTCAGATCGACGCAGAGAACGTCACCAAAACGACCCTGGCCTCATCACCCGTCTCTCCACCGAGGTCGATTAATCCGGGCCGTCGATTTCTGATCCGATGGCCTTTCCACCCGTGCTAGTGTCGCGTAAAGCTGCAACTGTTGACCCCAACAAAAGTAGAATATGTTGACCTAACATCCAAAAAAGAAAAGGAAAAATGATACATTGACCATTGCCAAGAGAGTTGGTCAAGGTTTCTTGGGATTCACACGAGGAGGGTTTGGTGATGCAGCCAGCTCGTGACCTGGTCAACGCTAGGCAAGTAGTAGCAGCCGCAATGCAAAGTCTCATTGTAAAGTAGGCTGTGTTTAGATCTAAGGGTATAAATTTTTGGCGTGTTATACAGAATATACCGACACACATTTGAAGTATTAAACGTAGTCTAATAACAAAATAAATTAAAATCCACATGTAAACCACGAGACGAATTTATTAAACATAATTAATCTATCATTAACAAGTTTACTGTAGCACAACATTATCAAATCATGGTATAATTAGGCTTAAAAGATTTGTCTCGTAATTTACACGTAATTTATATAATTAGTTATTTTTTTCGTCTATATTTAATACTCTATTCGTGCATCAAACATTCAGTAGCAGCATGGTGTAGACAAGGCCTGAGTAGTCTCGCGTGCGTGGGTGATGGCATGCAGATTGCAGTAGGTAGGTTGGTGATATTGCAAGATCTGGACACAGTGAACAACCGAGTGTATGTATGTCCATGGTTGAAAATTTGCGTTCCTTTGAGCAAATTTTTCAACGAACGCAAGTTTATTTTCGTCCCAAAAGTAAATCAACGCAAATTTTCTCGATCACCATGGCGTCGCTATATGGTTATGGTTCTTGAGCAGGAATTCATTAACAGGATAAAAAAAAAAGGGGTGTCGGCACAGACAGACTCGACCGGAAGTGACACATCACTTGCATGTTGCATCGGCCTAGCTAATTCCTTCTAGTTTCTCCAATGATATCTCGGTCAGAACAGCACTCAGAGGAGATCAGCAACATAAAAAAAGGCAGGTTGTTGTTATTGTTATTATTATATTATTATTGTTACTATTTGCAAGCCCATGCATGACACTGTTCACAAATTCGATTGTGATTTATACGCGAACATACAGAACATATATACCATTCAACTGTCACAGAGCAAGCAAACAATATGTATAATGTAATGTATCTTGTATCCATATGATGACTGTATTAACTCTGAACACCTCATGTTCTTTCCACAACAGTTGATCTGGACGCCAATCATATAGTTGCAGTGGATTTCAATATAAAGGTGCGACTAATATGGTCAAAATCTCCTGTTAATTTGTTCGATCGACATGAATAGATCAACGCAGGCTGCAAATTAGCCTCTCCAGTGTTGACACTTGACCAATTAGGAGTGGTCAGGCCGGTAGGTAGAAGAAGAGTGAGGAGAAGATGAGGAGGAGAGCTAATTATTTCTGGTCTAAAATACAGTAGTTAACATTATGTGCTAGCTACTCCTACCTCGCATCTTCTTGTTTTCGGACAGTTTGGCGCGCGTTCTCACTACGGATTCTGTTATTTGAACGAGACTGTTATCTGGATCCACCTAAACAGATTAAAGTTTTGAGACTCGGAATTTCTCATGGTTTGACTAGAATTCAACTGGCAAAGAACAGAGAGATAATACAAGCACACAAGGAAGAAAGGTAGAACTAGAAGATGTGTATACACAAACAACCAGGTCGTCATGGAAGTACTCCGTACTGCATTTCCAAGGTTTCTCCACCTTGTTATCATCATCCGACTACTCGATCAGCGACAGCGAAGTACTCCCTCCGTCTTTCCGTCTCATAATAAGATCATTTTTCTCTTTTATTTATCTAAAAATAAAGAGAGAAATAATTTGCACTAGCATTTGATAAAGTGAGGTTATTCTAATTCTTTTATTGATATGTGCTGATAAGTGGAAAATAAATTTATTTTGAGACTAAGGGAGTAAATGATAGATCAATTCTCTTTTTTATGCTCAGGTATTGAATGCTTTACGCGGTGTTTAGTTCCAAAATATTTATTCAAACTTTCAACTTTTCCACCACATCCAAACTTTCCTACACACATAGACTTTCAACTTTTCCGTCAAATCGTTTAAATTTCAACCAAACTTCCAATTTTGATGTGAACTAAACATAGCCTTACTACTACTCTCTAAAAGGTACTTCCTCCATTTACTTTTGATCGTCATATTTCAAAACGAAAAACATTCAGTATTGATCGTCGCATTAGCCTAGTCCATTCAATTTCTTCTCGGGTGGGATGGAGTATACCACTACCAAAAATATAAATATAATGGTAGAAACATTTAGATATTGTTAAGAAAACGAAGACCTTAATTAAGGATTAATAACAAATAGACAACAGCTTCTAAATGTCTAATCTCCCCTCTCTAACCTCCTACAAAACCATTTGCCTCTTGTATATCACTGCTCAGTGCTCACCTTGTACCAAGCCGTTTTTCAAGAACATTTGCGAATTGTTAGTCGTTGGCTCACTTCATTATGCATATCTTGTTTGAATCTTTGTTTCATTGTTTGGTCAGCCGGTCGAGTTAGCCAGCAACCATTGCCAAGAGATCAGTGAAACCTATCCTCAATTGGTTCCTGAAATGCTGGCCATGGCGCCATGTCGATTATGTCAGATTGGTCAGTGATCCGGTCAGGTTAGGTCAGAAGATCTCCGGGTTGCCGGGGCCGTGGGGCATGGCGCCGCCGCCACCGCCGCCGCGGCGCAGGTCGGCCTGCCGGAGGTGCAGGGACAGCGCGTAGTTGGACGCCTCCAGCCGCCGCACCTGCTCCCTGTAGTCGTCGAGCTGCCACCGGAGCTCCCGCTGCGCCTTCTCCTGCGCGGTCCGCAGCCGGTGGTGGAACAGCACCGCCCTCTTGAGGAACCCGATCTGCCTCGACGCGGCGTCCAGCCTCGCGGCGGTGCCAGCGCCGACAGCGGCCCCGAACGCGTCGAGCACCCTGGCGCCGCGCTCCCTGGCGTCGTCCATGGAGGCGGCGGCCCACAGCTCGCGCATCATGGTCTCGACCCAGTACCCGCGGTCGCCCCGTGCTGCACCGTCGACTGCGGCGGCGGCGGCGACCTCGGGTGCGGGCGCGGCTTGCGGTGCCGGAGGCTCGGGAGAAGCGGCGGAGGAGGCGGCGGCGTCATCGCCGTCGAGGTTGAGGTTGAGCATGCGGTCGATCACCGCGTTGAAGTCCCTCTCGCATTGCTCCAGCGCGAGAGCCCTCGCCGCCTCGTCGTCGCCGGGAGGAGGAGAAGCCATGCGCGCGCCGCACGAGAGACGAGAGACGACGCGGCCGCGGCCTTCGCCTGCCATATGAAGAGGCGAAGGCTTCTCCTCGCATCGGATTCGGAGTCGTGTACTCCGTTTCCGTCTGTGACGCTGGCGGTGATAAAACACCGCCATGTATTTCTGTCAACGGAAAAAACGTGGGCCGTCACATACATCGGCCCATTAACCACGTCTACGAACCCGCACGCGGCTCCCCTACTGATCCTCGCCGATGGCCGTCGCATGCCTATCGTCCTCCGCCGCCGCCGAAACCTCTCCTCGTCGATCCCATCTTCCTCCATTGTTGTGCACGGCGTTCGCTCGTCATACAGTGCCCGAAGCCGAACCATCCGCTGCTCCTCCACCTACACAGGTAGATTGATGCGTGGCAGTGAAAGTGAGGCAGTAAAGTAGCGATGTGTGTGTGGTGGCCTGGTGGGTTTGTTTATGGGTTGGCGGACTGGCCGCGAATAGCCCAGCAGATAGTTTGTGGGTTTGCAGGCTGCAACAAACACTGCTAACAGCAAGGGTAATAATAGAGCCCACTTCCTAATATTAGCCCATCTCAAAGCCAATATATATAATAGATTAGCTATAAAATTGGCTACAATTTTCTTTTTATCTCTCTATCTCTCACTTATATATTTAATGCATTTGTCTTGGACCTTATGATAAGCTAGCTCTTGCATGAGAGCCAGTATCCTTAATTTTTCAATATCTCTCTTCTATACCTGAGCTTACAGTAGGCTTATAGCTCACTATTATACTTGCTCTAATGGGTTGCGGGCTGCTGCAACTCGCCCCGCCTGCATGGTTAGGTGTGATACTTTCGCCGTATCATGGTGGTCTGATTATGATATATCCATGACAAGACATCATGATAAGTCGTAGTATCATAATATTTGAATGTGACATTGGTTTCTGGAGGTGGAATCGTCGAAGTATTATGATGATATCTTGTATCATCGATGTTTCATGTAGATAGTACTCCCTCCGTTCTAGAAAGAAGCAATTCCTGGATCCCTGATGCAAATTTAGTACTAATGTAAAATGATGAAAATACCCTCCGTGACAACATCCATATATTACTGTCATTTCTCTGCATCTGTTGATTACATATGTCATTTCTCTGCATCTATTGATTACACATGCCAGAAGCATATGACGCAGAATAAAAAATGCCAAAAGTTTCCATTGCCGAAAGCAAATACTTAAAAAGAAAATCTCTCCAATTGAGAAAATACTAGTACTACTGGCAACAGCATAAACATGGCAAGAACCCAGAGAAAAAAGAAAAGCAGTGCATGAACATAGCAAGAACCTAGAGAAAAAAAAGAAATGCAGTGTTGTTTGCCTTCACCAACGCGGCTCGTGCATCAAGCAACCGCATCAAATCTTCCGGGAATGATAAGCAATTAGGCATACAAGCCCCCACCGCCGATGAAGCTGCGTCTCCCCATCGCCTCCACCGCCGCCGACAAAGCCGCGTCTCCCCATCACCTCCACCGCCGGGATGTGCTGGGAGGAGTGGGAGGGAGGTGGGGAGGGGGTCGGAAGCTTGGTGAGGTCTCGCATCTTACCGCCGCTGCATCGATGCAATCGATTTGGGAATGGGAGAGAAACACGAGAGAAAGAGTGAGAGACGGGCAGGAGATAAGATTTTTGCAATGTGAGGTGTGAACGAGAGGAGGAGAAGTCGCTGTCCACCTAGGCCCACAAATGATATGATAGACTTGAAGTTTTCTTGTTTTCTGTGGAGGAATCGCTTCTTTGTGGGACAAATCCTCCCCTCCAGAAATCGCCTCTTTCTGGGACGGAGGGAGTACGGGCATGGTCTATTTTGTAAATAAATCTCCTCTCCCTACTTGTTGCTAAACGCCTTCTTCTTGTCACGCTAACCGTCAGGTGAACTACAACACTATATACGTGCATTCCCAACTGGCCAACGACCTATACCCGTCGGGCCCACTAAAGGCGAACTCCTTGCATGCTTATTCAACGATGTCTTTCTCCTTGCAACGTGTCGACAAAACCACCAGTTCCTCCTCCACTCAAATATGCTTTGCCACTCAAGAAAAGGAGGGGAGGTGGATGACGATGTATCGTTCGCGTGTTCATCGCCATGACCGGAGCGAGCAGCATTCCATTGGCTTTCCCCTTATGCCGGTGGAAGAGGAGGGGAAGCCTCGTTAACATAGGCTATGTTCTTTGGACAACTTTTCCAACTTTACTCTCTCGCGCTAACACTTTTTAAACTATTAAATGGTACTTTTTTACAAAAAGTTTATACATGAAAGTTTTTTTAAAAAATCATATTAATCAATTTTCAAGTTTTTTTAAACTAATACTTAATTAATCATATATTAATTAGGTATCTCATTTTCTGTGTGAAGGAAATTAGTTCTCAACACAAGCAAATGAACACAGCCATGGTTGTTAATAGAAAAACAAATTGGCTGTGCCAACTATCCCTATCCGAAACCATGGTTTTATCGAATCTTATACTACCAAACTATGGTTTCAGTACATGCTATTGACGTATGCTTTTCTATTTTGTATTGTATAAAAGTTTTTTTTTAAAAAAACCGAGCCTATGTTTTGAGTCCAACTCGTTCCCGATCCCGTGTGCCCAATCCACCTGAAGCCCTGAACCGTCCATCAATAAATCGGACGGACCACAACCACAGCCTCTCGTTGCCCCCAGACCCCCCACGCCCCGTCCCGGTCTCGTGCGAACAAGAAACGGACACACACACACATCTCCTCGTCGTGCCATCGTGTGACGACGTCTCGTCTCGTCTCCCTCTCCCGACCCGACACCCGAGTCTTCTTCCCTTCCCCAATCTCGCCCTTCCTCCTCCTCCGATCGATCCAGCCCCCGCCCCTCCCCGCCCCTCGCCGCGCGCGCGAAGGAGAGAGAGAGAGAGAGGGAGAGAGGGAGGGAGATCGCCTCGCCGCCGCGGCGTGGGATCCGGAGGTGGTGTAGCGAGGATGTCGTCTGATTCGTCGTCGTGGGCGCGCGCGCTCGTGCAGATCTCGCCCTACACCTTCTCCGCCATCGGCATAGCCGTCTCCATCGGCGTCTCCGTCCTCGGCGCCGCCTGGTGAGTTCCCCCCCAACCCCTCGCTCGCTCGATCGATCTGCGTCGCCGGATCTGCGAAAGCCCCCGGTTCGCGCGCCGTCCTCATCGCGCGTTGGTGCTCTTTTTGCTTGCAGGGGGATCTTCATCACGGGGAGCAGCCTCATCGGGGCCGCCATCAAGGCCCCCAGGATCACCTCCAAGAACCTCATCAGGTGCCCGATTCTTGCTTCTTTCTCATCTGATTTCGTTCTCGACCGCCTGGCTGTCGATTTCGTGATTGGGCGGCTTGCTGATGCGATTTAGGGTTTGGCTGAATAGCTCGAGTGATGTTTTTTTCTGTTAGTGCGGATAGGGGATATTTTGATATGAGCACATGAAATTGTTCAGAGCTGCTGATATGTACATCATAAGTACTTCCTCGGGCGGATTACTTGAGTGCCAGTACTAGTTAATAACATGAATTGACTTAGATTATCAGATAGGTTTCTTTCTAGGACTAATCGGATGCCATCTTGCAAGTGTCCCATTGATTTTGACAGTAATGAGATCCGTAAAAATGCCAACAATACGCGAAAACTGCTGGACATAGAATTCCATGCATTTTGTATCTAGGGAGATTGATTACCACACTGTTCCTCTAGGCAGTTGGTTTTGTAGAGTGCCCTTTCATCATGGCTTTCAATTATTACGCCTTGTATATTTAAGTTACATGGCATAATTTATCTGTTAGCAATATCCAATTTTTAGCATTATGCCATCTCGTTTGCTTCACCTTTGCTACAAAATTAAAGCTGGAGGCAAATGTTGCCTCTGCTGTTTCCACGTTTGCTCTGGTTAGGGTAGTCAAGTTCTTTTAACTGCTCTTGTGGGATCAGTCCAGTTCCTTAGCCAGCCTGTATCTTTTAACCCATTGCTTAGCATCTGTGTTTTACTTGTATTTTCCTTTACGTTATTTGGGGCATGTTTGCTCGATTATAAGCAATCGTAGTGGTGTACTGGTGTAACTAGAATGTGGGCTACTGTACTAATGATAATGCTGTCATATGTACTTAAGCTATTGTAGTGCTCTAGGACAACTGCGTCATGCAATGTAACATGTGCAGTGGAACATTAGGTTCTACATCCATAGTATCATGTAGGACAACTATGCACATACGTGCGATTTATGCGATGAACACCAGTCTGGTGTGCAATTAGGAGCTGAACTTTTGGTCTGTCTAATGGTCACTTCACAACTTAGGTAACATTGCCTGATCATTATAGCACGCTTGAAAAATATGGAGATACTGAGGAAGTGTTTGGTGCTTTCTGTTGACAAGTCAAACCTAAAGTTCTCCAATTTTATTTGGTCCACCGCATTTCTCATTTTATAAACCAGCAGCAAGAGAGCGATAGTACTAGCAAGAATCTGATTATGTTCCCGACAGATGGTTACTGATAGCAGTGTGACTGTCATGCTTTATTTTGCACATTCTGAAAACTAGATATGGTGCTTAACTACAATCTTTTCAGTCATTTCAAGTACCCTGAATGGCTGAAGAAAAGAGGCACACATTGTGTGCTTATCTACTCTACAAACAGTGTGTGCACTCTACAGTAAATGACAATGCAGCATGACTAAGGGACTTAACATTTGTTTGTCTGCTCAAAGCAATCCATCGTGCTTCGGTGGATACATGGTGCATTTTATTGTGAATAAATCGGATGCTACAATTCATAGAAGTGGCCACTGAATGTTTTATAAGATGTATAGTTATGTTAACTGCATTAAGTTTAGTTTTTTGCATCAGTTGTACAAAACAGTTACATACATGGCCTCTAGGATTTCATCTGCATAGCCTTTATTTCCACCATTAATATTAAAATATACTATTTTGTTAATTTGCTAGTTCATATTCTGGAACATGTCTTGAAAGACCCTTTTGAATCACAGCCGTGTTCACTTTTAACTTGCGATACTGACATCTATGCATCTAATTGTGCTTTACAGTGTCATCTTCTGTGAGGCTGTTGCAATTTATGGTGTTATCGTGGCAATCATCCTCCAAACTAAGCTTGAAAGTGTACCAACTGCTCTAGTGCATCATCCAGAGTCTCTCCGGGCTGGCTATGCAATCTTTGCGTCTGGTCTTATTGTTGGCTTTGCTAATCTTGTTTGCGGGTAAGCACCAATCCTTGTGCCTTATTTCTTGTGTATCATGGTTCACGTTCTCAGATGGTTAAATTTGTGATCGGCAGGGTTTGTGTGGGAATAATTGGAAGCAGCTGTGCATTGTCTGATGCTCAGAATTCATCACTCTTTGTAAAGATCTTGGTGATTGAGATCTTCGGCAGCGCCTTGGGTCTGTTTGGAGTGATTGTGGGCATAATCATGTCATCTCAAGCAACATGGCCTGCAAAAGCCTAGTTCTATTCATATGGCAATCTGTAAATTATTTCGGGGAGACCTATCAGAAGAATATCTGGTCCAGTTGTTTTTATTTCTTTTTTTTTGTTTGTGCATTTTTGGCAAATCACGTATATTGATGCTTGATGCATCTGACGGTAGAGATACTGTTCCTACTGTAAAGACTACATAACTGCTGCGTATCTTGTAGGTGCTATTGCTTTTGCAGAGTGTGGTCTGCGTATTGAATAAAACCATTGAACTCAGGAATAAAATACTTCAAACAACATTTTGCTCAGTGCCAAGTGCTGTTGCATTATTGAACGAGAAAGATGAACAGGCTAGCCTATTTTAGGTGATGGTATTGTTGAACTCAGAATGCGAGATGCGTGCGTTGTGCTCAATTATGTTGCAAATATTCACGAAAAGTTATTAAGAGATGTCTGCAGATTGTCGTTACATTCCAGACCCCGCAGTTCTAAATCTGAATTCACCAATGGATATGACTTACGGAACCAAATGATCGCCAACATGTGAAGGGATACAAAATCTTTATATTAAAATGTTGCGAAATGATATACTCTCTTCGATCATAAAAACTCAATATATAGGACAAGATAATTTACGATCATTAATTGAATACTATAATAAGTTAATGTCATATTATAGTATTACTTTTGGGGGCAAATATATGTATACAACTTATTTTTAAGTAAGCATTAAGAACTCATTGATGGTTAAAATTTTATTTTACTAGAAAAAAAACCCGTGTGTTGCAACGGGTGAATGTTATTTTGATAGTTATACGGTTTAGTTAGAATGAAATTTACTGTGGAAATTCGCTTAAATATTTTTTTAAGAAAAATCATAAGCTGCAATTAGGAGTCCGACTTTCATCTCAAAGTAGCATGTGAGTTATTTTAAAGAGATTTCTTATACGACTCCTTTTGTATTTTCAAAAGCAAACAAACTTAATATCCGACTCAAACACGGATATGTGTTTCCAAAAGCGAACGAACTTAAAAACCGACTCAAATACGGATGACATACCCAAATACCGGCAAAAACATCTTTAATTTTTATAGAGAAAATCTACACAACAGTATCCCGTCACAACGGGATAAGGTCTCATCTACCTTATCTCCTTCGATCCCTTCCCCTCCACAATCTCTCTCTCTCTCTCTCTCTCGGGAGTCAGGAGAAGTCCAAAGGCATGGAGATGAAGCCAGCTAGAAGAAAGGGGTCGTCGTCTTCGGCGGCCGAGGTGGACAACGACGGCACGGCGTCGGCGAGGTCGGGGCGGTGTCGAGGGTGATCTCGTCGTGCCTCCTCGACGCCGTCATCCGCTCGCTGCGACGCCGCTTCTTCTACCAGCGCTCCCTGTTGCTGCCGGCGCCGAGGCCTCTCCCCTCCTCCCTCGCACTCCTCGCCAAGGTCTCCGTCGCCCTCGCGATCCACCAGTGCCATCGTCCTTGCATGCTGCTCCCGCCACCTCCTTGCCGGTGAGTGCAGGTGGGTCCTCCTCCACCACCGCAGAAGAAGAAGAAGCCGGCGGTCTCAGTGCCTCTGTCACCGCAACACCGGCGACAACCTGCTCTAGAACCTCTACCTCCTCTCTTTCGCCATCAACTTCAAGATGAAGTTGCTGAAGCGCAGTTCCTGGAGATGGTCACCGCCGACTTCCGGCCGGACCTCACCATCTTCTGCGTCCGTGCCACGGCCTTCCAATAGAGTTTCTAAATAAATGGCAATCCCATATGGCATGCCAAATCATGGAATCGATGGGGCCTAGCTCTCCGTACCAATTTTCCTAATTTCTATTGTGATTTATACGGAGAGTCTATTGGAGTGTATGGGAATATGTTGGAGTATGTATATAGAGATGGAACTAAACGACAGGATATGGAAAGTCTGTTAGAGCATGCCTAATGTCGTGCCTCAGCCCACGGTCTCAACCTCTAGCTAGGCTCAGATGCCACGGTGGAGGTGCGAGAGGGCTTCATGGGTGTCAGAGTAGCCCAATGAATTTACGAGTGGCTTAGGGGGAAAAGGTGAAAATGGTCTGATCTGGTCGGCGACCATCCAAAGCGATAGAGGAGGGACGAAGAGTGCACCTTTCTCTCACCGTCGAGAGGACCCCGGCCACCACCATCACTACCATCGAGCAAACCAACAACTAGGGAAGAAGAGGTCGGCAACCTTGTGCCCAAATCTAGCGGCTAACAGCGATCGGAGATGGGGAAGGGAAGGAGGCGGTGTCTGAGCCTACCCTCTCTACATTGCACGGAGCTCGCAACCAAGCCGCCTCACCAGCACCTGCCACCGTCCCCACCCACCACATGCCTAGTACATTGAGCAAGGTCAAGTCCAGAACGATGGGGAAAGAGGGAGGTGAAAGCGTTCACCAAAGTGTGGCGGAGTAGGATAGAACGGGACCCCCAGAGGTATGGCTGACACGGTGGCTTGGCGGTAAAGGGCTAGGATGGTGTAACACCCTGAAAATTCGACCAACGAAATCAAAGCACCAAAAATACGGATTTTCAAAAACTTTTTAAGTAATAAATTGCATCATGCCGATTTTATTCGCCTATTTCATTGGATTTTGATCTCAGAATTTATTAATCGCGAATAATGAATAACTAACTAGGAATAAACCCTAAAAATCAAGTTGGCTAAATAAATAATTAAAATATAAATTAAAATAAAGATTAGGTGGGATTGGAAATAAATAAAATATTATCGCGACCATATTAGCAATAATTAAATTTTAGTACGATGGAATGAGAATTAACCCTAATTAAAAATTCAAATAAATTATATAAACAAAATATGAGTGATATTAAATTAGGGTGAATTTTTAGTTAGGATAACACAAATATGGAGTAAACTTCATTTATGCAAAAATTAGAATTTATAGGGCTATATTTAAATAGAAAATGGGCTAAAATCGGGATAAATAGGAAAAGTTACTGTTCATTGCGGCATAGGTGTTCGATCGTGGTCCTCCTAGCCCCGCCCCCTCCCCTGCCGCGTGCGCCGCGTCGCCTGCCCATCGCGCGCGCCGCCGCCGCTGCCGCGCCATCACCGTCGCGTCGCCGTCGGCCTCGCGCTCGTCCCCTCGCGCCTGCGCCCCGCCGCACGGCCGTCCCCTCGCCGTCGCCCTGCGCCGCTGCCGCGCCGCCCGTTCCATCGCGCCGAGCCCCGTGCCGCCGCGCGCGTCGCGTCGCCCCGCCTGTCACGCCGCTCGCTCGCCACCCGCCGCGTCGCCGTCCCATCGCCGCGCGCCGTCACCATCGCCGCGTCGAGCCCCACTCCACCCGTCGCGTCGCCCGTCTCGAGCCCCGCACCGCCGCCCGTCGCATCGCCGCTCCGAGCCCCGCGCCGCCATCGCGTCGCCGCCCGCGCGTCGCCGTCGTCCCGCCCTGAGCGCCGCCGTCGCGTCGCCATTACGCCGCCGCCCCTCCCCCTCTCCTTTTCCCCTCTCTACAAATACCCCCCTCTCTCCATTTTCCCCCCACCCCATCTCACCCTTCCTCCCCTCTTCCCTCTCCACTGCGCCGCCGCTCTCGTGCCACCACGCCGCCGTTCCCGTGCCGCCGCGCCGCCGCTCCCGTGCCGCCGCGCCGCCGTTCCCGTGCCGCCGTGCGCCACCGTCGCCGCCGCCGTTGTCGCCGCTGCCGCCGCCGGTGAGCCGCCCTCCTTTCCCCTCGCGTCCACCGCCGCCGCCGCTCGGGTGGGAGAGAGCCGAGAGAGAGAGGGAGAGGAAAAGAGAGGCCGACAGAGAGAAAAAGAGAGAAAGAGAGAAAAGAAAGAAAGAGAGAGAGAGAGAGAAAAGTAAGAAAAAGAAAGAAAAAGAGAAGAGAGAATGGAGAAAAATAAAAGGAAAAATAAATAGAAAATTAGGAAGAAATTAAGGAGGTTAATAGTTTAAGAAAATCTAAAATAATTAGAATTTAATTATAGATTAATTATGGTCATAGAATTGCAAAATTTAATATAAATTATAGATTATTCTTGGTAATTTCTAAAAGAAATCAATTCGCGGTAGTAGTTTAGATGTAAATAACGACTAAACAATTAGATGAATTTTTATAGACTATTACAGATTAGTTTTGGATAATCTCTATAAGTAATCGATTCACGGTAGAAGTTCGGATTTAATCACTAGGAATTTTAGACGTATATTATATTTAATCGGTTAGTCATAGGCTAAATTAAATCGTATAATATTATAAGATAATTTTTGGATTTCGTCCGATATTTAGCTCACGATAGAAAATTTCTAACCTATTATATGGATATAATGCTCGGGTAGATTAAATTAAAAACTTATGCTAACAAAATATTTATACCCGCAAAATAGTTTAGGATGTATAAATCGAAATTGGATTTGCCCTAGTTCGCGAATAGTAAAGTTAATATAAAAGAATCAACTTTCGCATTCGACTTCCATTTGGATTTATTTGGATCTTTATTTGAATTTTAACCGAATTCAAATCGTTTCTTCGCACGTAATTTTAGAGCCCGAGGGAGTTGCAGATCCAAGCGAGGACCAAGAACCGCAAGACTTTGAGCAAGGCAAGTCATCACTATCCCTTGAACATGTTGATCCTAATTGTGAAATTATTTCGTTTATAAATAAAATTACATGCAATGATGAACATCCTACTTGTGTTTATACCATGCCTTGATTATTGTTTACCCCTTATTCCTTCGTAACCATGTTTACGTATGAGTCCCTAGTCAATTATGACAATTGCTTAGAAATGCTATTCTAGAATCATGCATACTCATATTTATCAAATACTAAATGCTTGGGCAATTACCTTTGGGAAGGTAATTGAGATGTGGCATGTGGAGACATGAGCGCCACATTGCCATGAAATTGATGACATGATTTGTGAAAGGAAAATAAAGTGAAAACAATTGTTTTCGACTGGGGCGGACGGAGGATTTGGGTGGTATCTAGAAAAGGCTAGTACCGTCCCCGGTCAATTAAGGACCGAGCCATGAAGTTAAGCATGAAACGACCCCCGTACAACCGCACTTCTCGTATGGGTATAGACCTAGCGGAGTAGATAGCCGAGCGGAGGCAGTATCCCTGCATAGATGGTTCACCCCTGAGTGAGGCAGGTGCGCTACGGTGGGACAGCCGTTGAGGTAGGACCGAGAGGCGTGCCCTACATCGGTGTCACCATTGGTAGGACTGCCATGAGTGTGTGAGAGAGAGAACTTAACTTGAACCATAATTTAATATGTGTGTGAGACTTCTCTTTTCCGGGAGCGCCAGAACTCCTCTCACTGCTAGAAACATAGACGCCTAGAGTGCATGAGGATTTAAGTTCATGGAGCGGGTACTGTCAATGCGAGGTTATCGAAAAGCTTTGCCATGACGCGTCTCATGTGTTGGGACGAGGCTCATGTGTTGGGCAGTCGCGGAGTACGGGTAAAGTGTACATCCATTGCAGTGTGAGTAAACCAAATCTATTCGAATAGCCGTGCTCGCGGTTATTGAGCACCGGGACATGTATTACACTTGGCTAGACTCTAAATTCTTTAACTTGTGTGGGATGGGATATTACATGATGATTTTTATGCTGATGGAGCCACTTCCTGAGAGGCGGGAATGTGGACGTCCTCAGAAAACCATGACGACTCAATGGCGGGAAGCTATCCTTGGGATCACAATGGATGGTGGACAGAACCGTCATTGTTTAATGGGAACACTGATATTAAAACTTGATCAGTCTATGCTAGGTCTTAGGCTTGTGAAAAGAATTACAAAACTTGCTTTGTGCAAAAGAACCATAGCCATCCTTTGAATTCCTCTGTCATGTGCATTATTGCTGTGGTGGCTTGCTGAGTACGGTTGGTACTCACCCTTGCAATATTCAAACTTAATTAGTGGCCGGAGATGAAGCTTCGGAGGATCCCTATGCCTATTACCAGGAGGGTGATGAGAACGATGGCGCTCAGTAGGTCTTAGTTACGGTCGTTGCCTATGGCAATGGCGTGCCGCTGCCTTACCTACTTCTGTTTTTGGAATGTATTCCGGACCGCTCGGTCCGATGATTTAAGACTGTGCCTGCGGGCTTATGATGTAATAATTCGTACTAGACTCTCGTGTATGTGCACTTGATATTTCAGCTATGAGTTTGTGTGTACCAGACTACTTGATCCAGGGAAATGGTACTGTTTACACGATTGATTCCTGTTATAAAAACGGGGGTCCACAGATGGTCAGTGATGTTGGGTATGGATGGAGTTGGGGAGAAGACGGAAAGGAAATGAACATGGTAATTACTCTTGGAGTTATTTATAATTTATTTCTTCCCATTGAAGTACAATTCGTATAATTTGGGATACATGTGTAAATAATTTATGTTTTTCTAAATTATAGGAGTGAAGCACAATTAAAAGAGGCCAAAATTAAAAAAAAAGTTACATAGGCTTGCCTAGGCTATGCCTACGTACATTGTAAATACACGGTTGCTTTAATAGTGGTTTCAATTGCTTTTGCCTAAGTAGAGGTTGAAACCACTAGTCGAGAGTTGATACTTTTGTGTATTGCCCATGCTATTGGAGTGCACAAGGATATGAAGAGATAATCTTTTGAAAAGAAAATATTCTCCATGTCGAGAACTAAATTTAACAACGCTCTTGGTTTTTTAGATGCTATGAAAAATAAAAGTGTGTAGACCTAAATATGGGGCCACCAAGCTTGCCCCGGCCGAGCCATCTACATCGAGCCTGAATCCAAACCCCATACGGCAACTCTTCATCGTCTCTCTCCCATTGAAAAAATTGAGATCATGCCATTTTGTCAAAAGTGTGTATTGCCCAAATGCCATTTTACTAAAGGGATTCGATAAAATATTACTCTCAACATATGGCTATATACTATAATATAATCTAGGACAAAAATGCCTTTGAGCTCATTCTTCCCCATCTTCTCTTCTTATTCTGGCTACCCCTCGCTGAACACCAATGGAGGAGGCTTCCTGAGCTGCTCGCTTATGAAGGCTTGGTGCGGTTAGTGCTAGGCGACGTGCTAAACATGGTGGGGTTAGGCGTCACCGATGGGACGTGCTACTGCTGGTGTGCAGAGAGCCGTGGAGCTCATCCGCAACGATCTGGAGATGTAGGGTGATGATGCTCGTCCTCTTCGGCGGAGGAGACAATATCACGCTGTTGATAGTGTCGACATGAAGGATGGCCGGGATGAGGAAGTTGCCACTGATGCGGTTGGTGCTGGTGGAGTTGATGTGGGCGGTGAGACATCAAAATTGATTGATCAAGACTGCATGGCAATACTCGACGTGCTGGCGAGGAGGTACAATTTTCGGCGGCGAATGAAATGGATACTCGAGCTTGATGCAGTTGTCAAAATGATTTATCCACCTCACTAGAAATTTCTCTCTTAAAAACCATTACTATTTGTCATGTCATGTATGCCAAACTTTTCCTATTCACTCGCAGAATCGGCGTACGCCGCTGTGGCTCCGTCCCGGAGGCAGAAATAACGCACGCGCCACGCCCACCATCCGCGTCCGTACTGAGACCCAACCACAAAAATCTCACCTCCTCCTCCTCCTCCCTCTCCCACCGCGGCCTCCTCCTGCTACCTGGGAGCCACGCGCCCCCGGCCTCCACCTCGCCGCCCTCCTCGCCGGCGGCCGCCACGCGTGAGTCCTCTCCCCTCTTCCTCCCCGCCGTCCCCCGTCACTGTTCCGCGCTGGATTTCGCTGCGCGGCCGCGCGTGGTTCCGCCCCCAACCCCCCACCGGGGACCGCGGGGCTCCGGTCGCTGGAGAGCGCTCCGCGTCGCCCCGTCGGGCTCCGGGGCCGCTGGTCGTGGTCCCCCGCGCGCGCGGCCTCCGGTTGCGCGGCGCGGGCGAGGAATGCCGGCGCGCGTGCGGGCGGGCGGGCCGAACGACCCCGGTCGAACGGCTAGGGCGCTAAATTTTGGTGCTCGAATGGAGGTGTCCTTGCGAGGTTTTGGGGGATTTCGTGTGGGGGCGTCGCACGTTCGGTTTGCGTTTCCCCCGTCTAGGGTTTGGGGTTTGGTGGATTCGTCGTCGGTGTGATCGCATTTAGTGGCTCTAGCTGCTGTTGGTGGTAATTTTAGTTCTCATATTATGGATTGGTCATGTCAAAACCCTAGATGAGTTCCCTGGAACCCGTTAGCTCACCTCATGGGTTTGTTCTTCGTCGTGCTGGACACCCTCCTTTGCTCTTGTTCTAAAAACTAAGGCATGCATGACGATCCTTGTTGCGGTGGTACTGTTTTATATATGCTTATGGTTAATGGTGAGCCTATTAGTAAGGTGAAACAGCGGATACGAACATGTCAGTTGAAAAAGCATTCATGTTTTTATTTCCTACCCTATTTAAGAACACACGTTTGATCAAAGGCGCTAACTGTTGCCTTTTAGGTTGAAAACAGGGTACTCCAAGCCATTGTTGAGCCTCAAGTTTTATGCATGTACTATGTAGTTACTCCTCTAATGGCCTTCTTATTCACCATGAGCATTCATGAAACTTATTACATTTTCTTTACTCCTGTTTAGTGAGCATGTAGAATTCATGCCAACCGGAAAATGTAGCAGATTGATTTGTCCAAAAGATAAAAAATCGAACGACTTCCTGTGGGATTTTATTCCAGCATAACCTAAAATGTAACTAATCAGCATGACAGATTTATTTATCAAGCAGATGGATCTGTACTTCCATTATGTTTGCTTATTTACCGCGAATATTTTGGAACTTTAGAATAACCACAGCCTATCCAGAAAAATAAGAATTAATTAGGTTGGTTTAAAATGCATCACCATGCAGCAATCGGTTGCAATTTCATATCTTTATATTTTTTTATGTGTTATCTTTGATGTTCCCGCATGCATTCAGCTGTAGATAAAACATTGCTACATTCAGTTGCAAAATAGGGTTCAGCTGTGAAATAGGACTTTTCAAGAAGTCTGAGAGAAGCTGTCCCTTTCTTTGTTGAGAAAATAACATCTGCTGCAGTTAATATTTCATCTTTCTCAATTCATTAAACTAACTAATGTATATACAGCGTATTAGCTAGGTTAACTAATCTTGCAAATGACATAGATTTGCTAGGTTAACTAAAATGTTAACAACTCAAATTCAACATGTGTGAAGAAACTAGATTTACGATTTTCGTTATGAAGCGAATGTCTAAATTCACACTTGATACGGTAATAGTACTATTAGTTTGTAAGCATGGTTTGTATGTTTGTTGACCACCTAGCATAAACAGCACAATTAACAGACACCACCCTTTCGAGCTTCAGAAACTACGTATGTTCTGTGCTAACATTATCAATAGTCAAGTCTGATGTGTTGATATTGCCTAATTTGATCTAAAGTTTGACCTGCTGATTTTATCACTCTAGGCTTATGGTGAGTGCACAGTGAGCTACAAGTTACCATTATCAGAATGGATGGTAGTAATGAGAATATCCAATTCTCATGGGGGAAGAAGAGAGCAAAAGGTGGTATTAAGATGGATACACAGTTTTATGACTCCTTCACATTTGACAATGTGAAGTACTCACTGTATGACAATGTATATCTTTTTAAGAGTGGTGAGTCTGAACCTTACATTGGAAAGATAATAAAGATATGGCAGCAAAATCAGGCTAAGAAAGTAAAGATTCTTTGGTTTTTTCTCCCGGATGAGATTCGAAAACATTTAAGTGGCCCTGTAATGGAAAAGGAGATATTTCTTGCTTGTGGTGAAGGCGTTGGCCTTGCTGATATCAACCCACTGGTAAGTTCATATATTTTCCCCTTCGTTTTTGAATTGGTTTTCTTGAATATCATTTTACCTTATGCTTTCTTGCAATATATTTAAATATTTTCATTTTGATCACTCAATGGACAGATAATCACTATTATGTGAACACTATATCAAATTTGTTTCTAATTGTGAAAAGTCATTGGATGGGCAATAGTGTCGACATTTTGTTAATTCCAAATATCTGTTGTTGAGAAGCCATATCGGTAGCTAGAATCCTAGAGCTACAAGTTACCTTATCAAGTTGTATCTAGTACTAGTTGATGTGAGGAGATCATTTCCCACTTTTTTTTGTTGGGAATCGTCCACCTTGTATTTGTGGTATATTTAGTTATTCACGCATGACATGAATAATTCGAAGTTAGAGTTTTAATTCTCATGTATAAAAAGTGCATCACAATTTTCAAAGAGCAATATTTAAATTCACATTTTTGGAAGTGAAAATGCAGTCCAACTGAGTTAGACAGAGTAGGCATTAGCGTGTTACCCATTTGCATGACCTGAGAAGAGCCAGCTTGGTTGCGACAATCAACTTGAAAATTGAGATCATTTCTAGCTGGTACAGTTAAACATCCTTTTGAGCTAATTGGCATACCATTTTAGTAGAGCATGGTTAGGTATTAACAGTCATGATACAAGATTGAAACTTTCCTGCTATTGTGTATTACCTGTGAATGTTAAGTCATTTGCCTTTTCCATCCTTTTACTTTTTCTGAGAACTAAAATATTATAATACCCTTTTGTTTATTGGTCACCCAGGAAGCTATTGGTGGGAAATGCACTGTGCTTTGCATTTCAAAGGATGAGAGGAATCGTCAACCTTCCCCCAGGGAACTAGCAATGGCTGATTATATCTTCTACAGGTTTTTTGATGTTAACAGTTGCACACTTTCTGAACAATTACCTGAGAAAATTGCAGGGGTGGAAGGTCAGCAATATATCAGATTTCATCAGTGCATTAAATTGCATTTTTAATATGGCAAAAAATTTCTCCACCCTCAGTATCCAAATTGGTATTTAATTATTTTTCTTCTGGCACAGGAAATCTTTTGCTTAATTCAAAAGTTGAGCAAGTGACATCCTGTTCAGACCAGGAAGTGCATGGTGTTGATCAGAAGATGCTTAATGTCCCAGTTCCCCTTCCCCAGTCAACGGTTATGGAGGATGAAAGTCCAGTTGCTGCAGTTTCCCTTCCCCCGTCAGTATTCAAGGAGGAAAATGTGGCTTCAGCCATTCCCTTTCCCCAGCCAGTGGTCAAGGAGGAAAGTGCGGCTGCTGCCATTCCCCCTCCCCATGTAGCACTGAAAGAGGAGAGTGTGTCCAAATCTACAGAGAACATTACCAAACCTGCACAGAAAGTTCTCCCTGGGGAGAGGCCACCAAAGAGGGTCAAATTTTCTGAAAATGTTACAGTGCAAAATGTGCCATTAGATGTTCCTGAAAGACCAAGTCGCACTGGACCTTTGGAACTAGCAGGTAGACAAGCTGTAAGTATCTGAACCAACACTGAGGATACATTTCCACCTTATCAATGAATAGCTTTATGCCATTGATGTTATGATATCATGTTAAACTTTAAACATTCCCCCAGGTAACTCAGTTAATATTATCTCCACAACTCATCTGCATCTAATCTGTTGTTTGTATATAAGTAAAATAAAACAGTTAACCTGGACTGGCCCTGCAATCTTCCCATAAAAAAGGCCAGACCGAGCTCCTGGGCTGATCCCCTGGACCTGTCCAGCACAAGGGACTATATGAGCAGTTGACCTGGGAAAATCTCAGTGCAACTGCTAGTTTTTTTTCCCCACCTGGGCAAGTCATTCTATCCTCTATCGACCAACGGTGCCCCTATGTGGCATTTGGAGTTAGCAAAAATTACATGAAAGGCTGGCCTGGGAACCCAGGAGGCCAGGATGTGGTACTTAAAGCTCTCATGTGAAACCTACTTGTATGCATTCTTAACTAAGGTATAAAGTACTATATGTGCCTCATGCATTCTGATTGTCAATTGAGCAGTTTTGCCGACTGCCCAGTTACCCAATGCATTGAATGGGTTGATTTACGATCTGGGTCTAAGAGCAATGAGTAAAAGGGCCACATGTTCCTTCAATTATTTCTGTTCAAGAATTTTATTCGGCTGAACATCATCTGCTTTTACTATTAAGGTTCAACCAATTTCTAAGAAACAAGCCATAATCAAAATGTTCTGGTTCTACAATTTTCCTACTGATAGCCGTGTTTACTTTTGTGTGCTTACACCCTTTTCTGCTATTTAACAGGACAGAAGCAAATGGTTCAAGATTGTGAGTAATCATTTTTCCTACATTGTCTCTTCTCTCTTGCGTATATACTATGATTGTACAGAAGATTTACATCTATGCTTCATGAGTCAATGCTTCAAAACTATTAGAAAAACAAAAATATTTCAGTTGACCTTATTTGTGGGTGGGTTTACCTTTTAAATGGAAATTTCAGCCATGGGATACCAGACTACGAAATGCTGATGAGCAGGGGACACTTGTGTACATTCAAAATCTTGACATACAGTTTGCAGCTGCTGACATAGAGGTATTGTCTTGTCTATCTGGTTGACATAAAGCCCAAACTGCTTTTTTTATTATATTCTTGGCTTATAATTTATCACTTCTTTACTAGCTTTGCTATGTTCTCTGTTGCACAAACTTTGCGATTTGTTTTCAATGTCTTACACCTCTTAATTTCCACAAGGCCTTGTATATGAGAATTTGTACAGGGAAGGATTTCATATGGCTCGGAAAGAACTCCCGTCCGAGTTTCCCCAGTGCTGTAGATTTCCCTCTTCATGCGATAAACATGACGCTAACTAATAATACTAATATATATATATATATATATATATATATATATATATTGGGCACCACTTCTGAACGGGTGGGCGAATGGATGAGCAAAAGATGCAACAAAGTGGGGATTATCCCGAGTCTAAAGTGTCATTTTTATGTAACCTATTTGTTTTTTTGTTTTCTCTGCTCTATAAAGTAAAAAAAAAGATCCACTTTTACTATTTTTCTCTCGATGAGACAATGGTACATGTTTCTCTATTGAGTGCGCCTTTACGTACGCGTTTCCGCTACCCACTAATTTTGAAAGATGTATAAATTGGAAAGAATGTAGGGAGCAGTAAAAAAGAGAAATGTTTTGTTTACAGGAACATATTTGATTTTAGAATCTGTTTTAATCTTTTTTGTGCTTTCTGTTTCCTAATTTTTGCCAATTTTCTTGGGCTGGTGTAGTTAACACTTTTGCTATAAAGAGATTAAAAATATTGGTTCTACAACATCACTTTCTACCCCTAATTTCAGTACCTAAGAGAGGTTGAGTAGGTGTACCATACTATTTGATGCTTCCTTGTTCTGCCATACTTGGACAATAACTTCTAAAATGGATACGTGCATGTCCCACTCTCTTAGGTGTCCATGTTTGCTACTTTCTGTGCCTTATCTGCTCTTTTTTCCAGTATCATCAACATACTTAATGAATATTTATCTTGATTACCATGTTTACAGGAGCTTATACGTGATGCTTTACAACTAAATTGTATCGCTAAGCCTATTAACCACCCAACTTATGATGATCCAAACAATGGTGAGTGAGTTTTGTTTGTAATACCTTGCAAGTTTGCCACATTCAGGCAATGTTCTCGAATGCGATTTAAAACAATCTGCTTCCTTGTTTGTAGGAAAAGCATATGCTATATTCAAAACAAAAAGTGCCGCAGACTCTGCTATTTCAAAAATTAATTCAGGCTTGGTGGTCGGTGGAAGGTATCTCACTCTGTTGCTTGCAGATTTGCTGGACGAAATTTACTACTATATATGTGTTCATGTTGCATTTATTGTGCTCTGTTTTAAGTGGGGTCACTGTCTGTTATAGTTCACATGATGGCATATTGTCATCTCATTACAACCCCAACTGCAGAATTAAGAGATCTTTTCTTTAGGAAAGTTAAGGGAAACTTCTATTAGCAATTGGTTGGTTCTATCTTGATACCACCTCAGGGACACATTACCACACTGCAATTGCTTATTAGGCAATTTGTCAACAAAATTGCATGTGATGCCATTTGCACTAGTTACTTACTGTTATTATTTTTCAAATTTCTACCGTGGATTAAATAACAATATGTTGTTCAATATTTTTGGTTGACCCTTTATAATTCTCTTATTGAATTATTTGCAGACCCCTTTATTGCAGCAAAGGATTGCTTAAGGTTCCAAAACCTTCAGAAACTCTTCTCGGGCACTTAACAATCAACAATATTAGAATGGGTATAAGACAACGAGAAGAACAGGTGCTGATGTTGTCCTATGAAGTTTGCTCTATTTCTTTTCTCTGTCTTAATATTTTTGCACAACCATTATTCTTTCTCCAGAAGAAGGCAGTTTCAACCTCGCATTGTTCTCAACCCAATACAATGGAGTATGATTTGGCCTTGGATTGGATGCTTGTCCGAGCAAAGCAAGAAACGAAATTTAGGACACTTCACAAGGTATGTGCACTTCCACTGGAGATCTCTGTGTATACCAGCTTTCAGTTTTATCCATACAGACCTTAAATTTTGAATGCTCAATTTATATCTATAGAAGCATAAAGATGAGAGGAAGACCTTTGCGAGTAAGATGGGAAAGTAAGTGGCTTCCATGGATTTGGTTAAGCGATGGGAACTGTCCTGTTCCGTGCTTATCTTGGAGTCCTCTACTGAGTACTGACTATCATTCCTCGGAGCTTTATGCACTTTTTGCCTGAAGCAACACTTATCTGCGAGTTTTTCTGCTGCGCAAGAATGAAATGCAACGACCATTTGAGGGGGACAACTAACTGCACCACACTGACTCTGCTCATGTTCCGTAGAGCATTATTTTTAGAAAGGAAAGAATTGTGCCATAGCTTAAGAAACCAAAGTAACATTGGTAGAAGTAGCCCTTGCAGCAAGTTAGGAAAGCCAGAGGCTGTTTTAGGTTACCCCGCACATCAATTTGATCTCACATGGACACATCAGTTAGATCTGTTGCTCCATGTTAGATAGCAAATCAACGCGTGCCGTCATGAAATGTGTATGTATATATTTTTAAATTCATGACCTGGCTATTAGTTCATTCATGTGACTGCTTATGTGTCTTGAGTTACAAGTTACAACTTGACTCCGTTCCATTTGTGATGATGAACAACAGCTCCTGAATGCAGCCACCGGCCTCGGTAGGTTAAAAATTGACACCGCAAATTCTGGTGATCGCCTGGTAGGTATTGTTGGTATAGCTAAAGATGATCATGTCTTCGTTTTGGATGCTCTTGGTGAACCATATGCTGGTTCTTGAGATCTAGCTTCATGAGACATGCATACTCATTCTTGAAGTAAATCAATGTACACTTTTGAGTTGTCTTGGACCAACATGTGTTACCTGCTAAAGTCTAACAGGAGATGCCCTGCTTTCCTTTTCTCCCAAAGTGAAAGGAATAAGTTCATCTGAGGTCCCTTAACTTATCAACGAATCCGATTTTCGTTCTTCAACCAGAAAACCAGATTCAACAAGTCCCTCAACTATCAAAACCAGTGCACATGAGGTCCCTCGACGGTTTTGACAACCAGTGCACATGAGGTCCCTCGGCGGTTTTGACGGTGGTTTTGGCGGACATGGCAACTACGTGGCAAATTTGACTTGGTCTTTATCTGATGTGGCATTGACGTGGCGCATACGTGGCAATTAGATCCGGAAAAATAATAAACTTCATGGGACCTTGTTAGTATCACACATAAATTAATAAAAAAAATGGTGGGGCCCACATGGGCCCCACATGTCATTCTCAGCATCTCCCTCTCTTTAACTAGAGCCCCTCTTCTTCGTCCTCTCTCTCCCTTCTCCCATCCCCAAGGCGTCGGGCGGTGGCCGGGCGAGGGAGGGTAGCTTGCGGCGGCCGGGAGAGGAGGGAGGCGGCGTGCGGCGGCTCGGCGAGGAGGGAGGCGGCGCACAGCGGCCGGGCGAGGAGAGGCGACGCCGTTCGGCTGGGCATCGCGGGCGGAGCAGCCGACGGAGTGTAGCTATCGCGCTCGCCGACGACCTCCTCCTCAGCCTCCTTCTCCTCTAGCAACCTCTGCCACCCCCGGCCTGCCGCCGCTCCCCGCGAGGACGAGGAAAGCCGAGAGGAAGAGAAAGGAGAGCCGAGAGGGACATGTGGGCCCACGTGGGCCCCCACCATCTTTATTTTCTTTAGCTGACATGTGGGCCCCACCATTCTTTTATTGATTTATGTGTGAGACTGACATGTGGGTCCCACGAAGTTTAGCTGACATGTTTTAACAATGCTAAAACCTGTAGTTTTGTGATATATTGTGCAAAGTATATATAATTTTGTGATAAACGAAGACACTGAATCTGTAGTTTTGTGAAAAAAGTTCTTAAATCTGTAGTTTTGTGATATATTATACAAAGTATGTGTATGTAGTTTTATGAAATTTACTCACTTTATTATTTACATGGTAGTAAAGAGATGCCCTTATTAAGCACGATTTTAGGTGCCCTTAATAAAGAAAGCAGAGCACCCGCTTGATCAAACTGCAATGGCACGCAACGCAACCATTCAACCAACCCTTCCGATTCACTGCACGACGGGCCCCACAAGTCAGTGACGCTACGCGGTAGAGGCGAAGCGGCAAACGAGCGGAAAAAGGGTTTTTGGTTGCGAGAGCGAGACGCACCCGCCGCCGCTGCCGCCGCACATCTCCCTCGCATCGCAAGCTCACCGGAGAAGCGCAAGAAGAGAGAGAGAGAGAGAGAGAGAGAGAGGGAGGGTAAGAGGAGGAGGAGGAGGGGTAGGCGAGGGAGATGGGCGCCGGGGAAGGGGATGCCGCCGCGGGCAACAAGGAGAAGGGCGGCGGCGGCGGCGTGGACCGGACGTCGCTGGACGGCGTGCGGGACAAGAACGTGATGCAGCTCAAGAAGCTCAACACGGCGCTCTTCCCCGTCCGCTACAACGAGAAGTACTACCACGACACCATCGCCTCCAAGGAGTTCTCCAAGCTCGGTGCGCGCCCTCCCTCCCTTCCCAACCTTTTCCTTGTTCCTCCATCCACCCTCCCTCTAGCGCGCCGCATCCGACACACGCCGGGACGAGCTCGTTGCCTCTTGCCGGTTGTTTCTTGTATTGGGATGTATTTTATGCGTTTTCAGCCCTCGGATCTGCGGACAGGGTCGAGGAAAGCGAGTTCTTGAGGCGGCATCGATAAGCATTAGGATTTGTTTGGTTAATAAAGGAGATGCTTCATGTAAATGTGATACTAATTAGCCATGATGATAAACTAGGGGTAGGATTGAATGGTGTTCGTTAGTGTGCCCTTGGGTTGAATAAAGATGCATTTTACTGCTGTCTTGGATAGATTGTATTTCTGCTGCTGCCGTTGATTACTGATTGTTTCTCTTTTTTTTTTTCTTCGTCTGTATATGTAGCTTATTACAGCGATATATGCGTCGGGGCGATTGCGTGTCGCCTGGAGAAGAAGGAAGGAGGAGCAGTCTGTGTTTATATCATGACGCTGGGGGTACTGGCACCGTATCGTAGTCTTGGGATCGGTGAGAATTTCCCCTTTCTGACTTTGTTTTGAGTTATATGAATAGACTATTCTGTTTGCTGTTAGATTTCTGATCAGCATTATTATGTATAAGCTCGTTACTATATAAACACTGCTTTTTTTTTCTATATTAGTGATTAAACAACGATTTACATGTAACAGCACACATGAAAACAAGTTTAAAAAATAAATTGCTTACAGTAAGACCCCAATTCTGACAAGCCTTATGGTTAGCTCCAATGGTCAGTCGATGCCTTAGATATTGCAAAATTATCTTTCGTTATTAGGTAGAATACCTTGTGACATTACCTGAACATGCTCAATGTATAATGCCTACTTGGGTAATAAGGTGGGATCCGATATTAGTTATGGTGTTTGCTACAATTTATATGGTAAGAGAAGGCATTAGCTTGGGGAGAAGAGAAAGTATTGTTATTTTATTCTTATGGGTAGGCATTATGCATATTCAACGATTAAACATCCTATTGCTACATTGTAAGAGTAAGTCTAAAGAATCATTGTGTGATAGAACTCTTACCATCCAATCATTATGTAGCATTATAAGTTTATAACTAACTTTGTGAAATATTTTCCGGTAATTGATATTTTGTAAGTAGACAGCTTTAGGCGCTGAATTTGAACATACAAGATTAGCCTTGGTTAGCTAGTTTCAGCACTAAAATAATTATCTGTTTTGTTCATGAGTTTCAGAGCCTATGTCAATTATATAATGCAGTCGCTTGGCTGTCAAATTCCTTTTATGACAGAAGACAGTTTCAGAATCAAACAAAGTGTAGCATTGCGCCAACTATGGACCTCATGCTACAAAATCTTCTGTCAACACTTGAGTTCATCTTAAGAAAAAAAAATGGATTAGCATTATCTATCTGATAATAAAGTCTGTCACTTTTAAAAGGTTCCTATTTGCCTGGGTTTTAATCGTTGTCAAGTGGATATGAATGATGGGAGGTTGAGCAGAGACTGATAAATCAGTATTGATGCTAGCATACTAGATAAGGGTGCACCTGCAGCGTGGCACTGATATAGAAGGGGCTTTTTGGTTATTTCTTGATGTCAATTGTGCAGGGATACCTTGTATGTAACAGGTAGGCCACACAACGATATCTTGACATTGATTCTTTCCACCTTGAGCCACACATGAAGACCCGGCCTGTTGGTGGTGTTGAATGCCGTCGATAACCGAATTATTTTGAGAGACCATTTTAGGAATGAAAACACTCTATGGGCCACTTGTACTTGCCACTTGGAAATCGTCAAAATGCTGAAGTCAATAACTCAATATTTTGTTTTAAACTCAATTTTAAAAAGGACAAAACTAGAACATTTCAGCTTTGAACAGCTTGAAAATTTAGAATGGGGATGCCAGAATTTAAGCGAACAAATCAGCAAAACTAGTTGCACAGCAACTATGTTCTATGTTTTGTTTGCTACTAGCCTACTAGTACCACACAACAATTTGAAACCTCACTTTTTGTGAACTACCCATATTGAAATAACAATTCAAAAACTTTTATAGTTTTGAAGTTTTCACTCTATGCATAGTAATGGATAGTTTGCATTTGGAAATATCATTAGCTTTTTTAGGGCCATAGCATAGAAGATATGTGTCTTATAATTGCTTCGTTTAATTTTCACAGGATCGAAGCTGCTGAACCATGTGATAGATCTGTGTGAGAAGCAGAACATCCCTGAGATATACTTGCATGTTCAGACGAACAACGATGATGCCATTGCTTTCTACAAGAAGTTTGGGTTTGAAATTACGAAGACGATAGAAAAATACTATAAAAACATCACGCCGCCAGATTGCTATGTTCTTACCAAATTTATTGGTCAGGCTGCTACAAAGAAATGAGCAACCGCCAACACTCTCCTTTTGTGACAATACCACCACCACCACCAAGTCGTGGGGAGATAGTTGTGATCTTGTCGCGGTTTCTGCTGTGTTTTCACTTCATGGGTGCTAACATTATTACAAAACACTCGAGAACTATAGTAGCCTTTGCTACAAGCACTGAGGTATCATTCACATTGACTGTTTCCTTTACCCCCCATGAGCATGAGTGTTTTTCTATTTGTTTGCAGATTTTACCCCTTGTTCTTGTGAAATCATCTGTTTGTTGTGACTTGTGAGTGTATGTCACCACAGGTAATTCCTGTGAACTTATGTCCATGCTCACGCACGCATATTCGACTCGAATAATCCAGTATATGTACTCTCTTTGCTTCATGGAATAGCTGGGCAGATTATCTCTTGCTACTGTTTTAAACAGTAAGTTAACTCTCTGCATCAGCATTGTTTAGGCTCAAGCTCTTAAGCTAACTTTTTGGTTTATAGGCTCTATAAGCCGATAAATTTGAAACCTTAAGTTTAATGGTAGAGTTGTATCTACTTGGTATAAAAAAAGCTACTCCAACCTAACTTTTGATTTAACAGTGTAAAAACAGCTTATGGCTTTAAAAAAGCCAAACAAAAAATCTACTTGTTTGTTTAGTAAACTTTTTGGCTCATAAGTTGGTTTAGGAACTCAAGTTTTTTATCTTCTACTTTCTCGTTTCATGTGAGCACGCTTTCTGAATAGCTAACGGTGTGCCTTTTTTTAAAAAAAAAATATTGGATAAGTTCTTAAAAACAGTAATCCATCTGCGAAGAAAAAAGTTACTAACCACCACTATAGAATACAGCTTTATAATTCTAAACAAGGAGAGCTTGGATACTCTATACTCTATAGAGTGTGGCAGGGAAGCCAAACCATTCGTGTATAAGACCATGGTGTGGTGGAGGCATGGATAAAATGAAATGTGGTATGGACTTGGTAGTACAACTACGGGGGAGCACGGACACAGCTGATGGGATTACCATCGATGACTCGCACTTTGTTCCTAGGACCTTGTTTTGGCAAGTCCTTCGCTGAAGATGCAGTAGATCAACATTCACATGACTGTCTGTTCCTCTTTGATTTTTCCTGAATGTTTAGACCTTTTCATAAATAATATTTATTAACAAATATGTTAAAAAGATATATCCCTACTTCTAAAACCGAACCATTTGGCTCCTCCTTTAAGTAATGTTGTCAATACATACTCCTTCTTGAACAAATATAAGTATTTTTAGGATTCAAATTCTATTACTCCTATATAGGGCAGCTCTAGCTCCACCTCTTCTGGAGTTAGAGGTCCGCCAGATAATTTCAGCTCCATTTAAAATGGGAGCGGAGTTAGGTGGAGCTTTCTCACTCCAGATCCAACTCATGTAGCTAAATTTAGGAGTATAAAATATAAACATTTTTAGGACGCTGATTCTAATGTATAGGAATCCAAGCATTTTCAGCCCATCAGATGTTTACAGGAGAGGAACCAAAGCAATTCAAACTTTGACCATGAGATAAGTGAAGAGAATCTTTCAGTTTATCTTTAATCTTTACTTAAATAACTTAAAAATATTATATTAGTAAGAAATGCATGCTTTACCGCTGCATGCTGCCGTATCTTATCCTTTTATTCATTTTATTTTTCAACGAGTTTTTTTAGGGATATGTTTTCAACGAGTTGATAGCATATATACGTGAAAAATGCTAATGGGTCAATTTAGTGGAAGAACAAGGTACTCCTGTTTAGTGAGAGGAACTCATGATAAGAGGTATTTCATCCATTTCATATTATAAATCATTTTTTTAAAAAAATATAAGTTTGATTAAATTTATAGAAAAATATAGTAACATCTCAACACAAAAACAAACTTATAAAAAATATATTTAATGTTACATATAATAAAACTAATTTGGTGTTGTTAATTTTTTATAAACTTGAGCAAATAAAAAAAATGTTTCACTAAATAAATCAAAGCGAGTACAAACTCAAAGCAACTTATAATATACTCCGTAAAACATAAAACAGAGTACTCCCAAGTTATTTTTCGATGAGGAAGTAACCATCAGTTCATCTAATTTAACAGTTAATTAAACATCCAAAGGCATCTAAATACTCGTCAACCAATCATCAATTGATTAAGTGGTTAATCGTTCTTGCCAGCTAGTATTTTTCACCGTATTAGATTATTGAAACAAGAGCCTTGTATATGGCATTAAACCATCATTGCCAAGCCACCAAAAAAAAAAGAAGAGGAAATGCACGAAAACGAAAATGATAGCAGAGTACATCGCAGTTGCAAGACGAACGATGAGCTGCAGTCGGTACTGGGTACGAATCGGGGAAAAAACATGTTAGTAATTCATCAAGGAAGCCAGCGCAGCGACATCTCCATTTGTAATTAATTATTAATCTCAAGTATGGAACACAAAATGGACTACAAAAGGGGATTCTTTAAGCCTTAATCTCGTAATAATCCATGGACAAGTCTTGCCATTGTAATACGTCTCGTACGCTAACGAAGCGGCCTTTCCTTGTCACAATGTCACATGTAAGATGGATGTATACTTGGAAAATTACATCAACGAATCCGGGAGTAATTCGGCCTGAAAAACCGTGTATCCAATCCTGACTAATACAAGCAAGTATGGCAGTTCCCTATACAGTTATCGTGAAGAAATAGAGTTTCAGCAAAACAGCCAATCCCAACTGCAACAAGAATATCCCTGCAACGATCAAGAACCATCGCTCTCCAGAATTTACAATGTGAGCGCGCAGATTCATAGCAACGAAGGTAGCAGACATAAACCCCGCGACACCAGCAATCACCCACCTGAATATTTCTATTGGCACAATAGACAGGAGCTGTCACATGGAAAGAGTGTTAAATTCATGCAGAAGTTACTCAACTTTCTCAACAACCAATAGATAATCACTAAACAAGAGACTATGGGTTTGCATGTTAATAGGGCATGGAGACAACAACACATAACAGACAACTTCCTTGATAGAGATTCGGTAAATAACGGATATTTTTACAACACAAACTATGGTCCTTGGTAATGAATTAGTTTTTTGAATCTAAAGTAGTGCAACTTCTTAGAAACGGCAAACTGGAACTGATTGCTTTGTAACGCTATATATCCAGCACACTTACATCAAACCCAAATGGAAGCCTTCTAAACAAGATAATTAACCATAACAAAATCGACAACACTATAAGAAGAATTAATTTCTATTGTCTAAGTTTTAGGATTTTCCTTACCGATGCTGGAATGAAGATGAATAAAGAGTATCCATAGAGGCACCATAGTTGCACTAGTCCAGCAGGTGCTGAGAAGTACTTAAGGATGACATATAGACCAAGGGGAACAAATGTCACGTAGCCATAGAATAAGCCAGCAGACCATGTAACCAGGTTAATATCATAGTTCCACTCCTTCTTATGCCATTTGTGGGATAGGTAGGTGACAAATGTGGCAATGGATGCAGCAACGAAAATCAGGGTGGTGCATGTCCAGAATGGCCCATATCTACAAAATTTAATTGAAATGAAAATTAGCAGGCATATAACCAGTGCTTCAATTCCTTGAAAGTGCAATAACTTGATAAAACACTTAAATTGCAGAGCTATTTATTTACAAGGAATTTATCATTATCTGAAAAAAGAAATAATACTTCCAAAAGCAGAGTTTCCACTGAATTAATAGGTTAGCTGATATCGAAACACAAAGTTCTATTTGCAAATGATCAAACAGCACCCATTGCTTCAGATTTCAGACATTGAGAAATTCAGGAAAATGCTGTTTAGGTAATATAATTTATTGCTATCATCTCAATATATTCAGTCCTGCATATTTGCCAAGTTTTTCACAATGGTATCCCACTGCCACTTACAAATGCCTCTTCACCTAATAATAGTAACCCATGGTATAGACTTGTACTGCTAATCTGCTATTTTCATGACACATGAATTGGTACAAACATTCAAGTTTACTTAGTGTTGACACCATACGGTGATGTTGAACAAGGCACAAGGTACATTCAAAAGGCAATCTTAGAACTGTTACCATAAACACTCTCAAGATAAGTTCAACAGAAAGATAATGGTGCACACAGCAAGACAAAGTAGATGAAACAAAGCTTTGAAATGAAAAATAACAATGGAATGATCCAAGCATGGGTAGGACATGTCATTGTAAAAATAAAAATAAGTTTAGGCAGTGAAGGCTAAAGGAAAATCCTAGACTCCCTTTTAGTATGTTGTTACAACAAGTCCTCGGAATTATTCATTCTTTGTCATAGAACTCTCAGCAAGAAGAACGGGAAAACAACATACAAAAAGAGATATAGAAGTATTCTACCGACCTAAGACATGCTAACAACTAATTACATGTCGCTATGAGCTGAAATTATTGCGCTACTCACTCTTAACCAAATGCAAGACATGTCATCGAGAAGACTAGGCTATTTTGCTGGAGCAATCAAATTCCTCCTATCAGTTCATTATCTTAAAATCCCCATTTCTTACACCTATGTGACCAACTCCTCTGAAATACCCAGACAAAATTATCACATTGTGCACGCAAATAAGTATCATGGACTTTCCAGCAAAACAACAGAAGACGTTCATAGTCTGTCAATGCTATTAACCATATCCGCTACCTGAGCATATGATCTCTAGGAACATTCGAATGCAAACTATAGTACTACTACTAAGGTAAGGAGGAGTTAGGCGATGGAGAGGCATACAGGTCGGGGTTCTCGGAGGTCTTCTCGGTGAAGGTGCCGCGGAAGGGGAAGACGGACTCCCAGATCCTCTCCACCACGTCGGAGGTGTCCACGTCGAAGTAGGGCTTGTACGCCGCGACGGAGAACATCCGGAACCACCCGCCCTGCCCGGCGTCGTCCGACCCAGCGCCGCCGCCGCCGCCGCCTCGGCCGCCGCCCCCGGACTTGGAGGAAGAGAACGTGTCTGCGCAGGCAGCAAAAGCACCAACCACAAGCAAGGTCAGATCCAGACGAAGAAATCAATGGGAGGAGGAGGAGGTGGGGGATCTGATCTGACCATCCGCGTCGGTGGGCGGGCGGTAGGCGCCGGAGATCTTGCCCTTGGCCTCGGACGGCGGGAAGATCTGGAGGTTGGAGTCGGCGAACTTGATGGTCGGCGGATCTGGCCCCGTCGCCGCCTGCGAAACCCCGACGAGGAGCGCGGAGGTGAGGAGGGTGAGGAGAAAACCCATCGGCGTGGGAGGGGACGGGGACGGGGAAGCTTACCGGGACGGATCCGGAGGCCTTGGGGTCGTCGAGGGCGGAGTAGCCACCGCCAGACATCATCTTCGCCGGCGACGGCGACGGCGGCGGCGGCGGCGGCGGCGGACGAAGCGTGGAGGAGGAGCAAAGCGGTGGTGGGTTAGGCAGGAGGGGCGCGTGAATGCGGCTGCTTCATTCGGATCTCTCGTTGCTTTGCGTCAGTTATAACCTGGCGCGAACTGTGTCGGTGTTAGTCACTGGCTCACTGCTAATGTTTGCTCTTGTAACACTGTACTCCGATATTTGTTAGTGTCAATTTTGGTCATGCCAAAATATATTTGTTACTTCTTCTGTTTCATAATGTAATCATTCTACCATATTCCACATTTATAATGATGTATATATGTCTAGATTCATTAATATTAATATGAATGTGAAAAATATTAGAATGACTTATATTGTTAAACGGAGGGAGTAGTACTGAAGTTTTAATACTATCAAATTTAATAAAGTAAAGTTGGTACTAGTGTGGATAAACATAGGTATCAAACCAAACGTATGTTTGTTACTTCTAAAGTTGCTAAAAGAATTGGCAGAATAATTGTTTTTCTTTGATATATAGTACCTCCGTTTTTTAACATGTGACATTGTTGACATTTTACAAACATTTATCTATTCGTCTTATTTAAACTTTTATGCAAATATAAAAATACTTTAATTCATGCTTAAAGAATATTTGAAGATAAATTAAGTCACAATAAAATAAATAATAATTACATAAATTTTCAATAAAACAAATGATTAAACGTATCTTTAAAAAGTCAATTGTGTTATATATTAAAAACATGAGGTAGTATATGTAATGGTTAATTTTAGGCTTTTAGAATGTTAGATATGGAGAATCAATGATTGTTTTTCTTTGAGTATATATGAGTAGCCAATCCAGCCTCGTTTGTAAAGACTGATTTAACTTGAAGGCTGCTTTCCGATTGAATTTATAAGTATTTATGTGTTAATATCTCTTGTTATTGTGTTCTAAGGGAACGTTCACAAGAGAAAATCGAATTAGCAAGGACTTGTTCGAGGAGCCAATCCAGCCTCTTTTGTAAGGCCCGATTTAATCTCTCGACTGCTTTTTAATTGAATTTCCAAGTATTTACAGGCTTCCGCCACGATGGTGTACCGGGCATTTTGGTGAGAGAGAACATTTTCATATTTGTAGAAGTATAATTATCATTTTGGTGAGAGAATACCTTTTTATATTTAGCCCTGCCCCAAAGCCCCACCATACCATACCATTTGCTCCATGCTCATTCTCCGATTCTTCACACAACGGATAAAATTACTTACCCCCGCAAACATCCACACTCGGAAATACCTAAATACTATGAAAATTCTCTGTTGACAGCAATCTATGCTTCACAGTAGTATATATTTTGTATATCCAAGTCGTAGATAAGAAAGTAGGGTCTGACAAGGTTCCAACTTCTCTATGTAACTTCGAGACCAGCGAGATTGATCGGTGAAGGTTTTTGCGCAAATAAGATGATGTTCGAAACCAGCAGCCTTGTTGTGCAATCAGGTTCAAGTAGGTAAAGATTCACCAAACCTCCATTATTCAAGTTTCATGATTTCCTGTAGGATAGGACATGACACTCGACGACCAAGAGGCAAGAGCACAGCAATAGAGTATTTGCCATCTGATGTTTGCTTGGGTGTCCAAAAGCCCCCATCGCAGGCTTACGCTTAGCTTAAGGTAAGTTAGGGTCTCCGATTGGAGCATTTAATCAAATAGAATTAAAAACATATTTAGTTGTCGCCTCATGTACAAATTGGAAAGCATGCCGATAAAATAAAGATATGATGCGTTCTTCTATTGGATTAGAAGAAACAATGTACTGCTCTATATTGTTAATGTAGAAATGGTCGTTGATATAGGCCCCAAGATTCTTTTTCCCTGGGGTTTGTGCTAGGGTAGTTGCTGTTTATGTAGGCAGGCACCTATCGCTGGCTCCGAAGGCAAAACCCCTCTTTGCCTGTATGACGAGCATTATTTTGTGAATGCTAATTCACAAACCAAAGCGATATGATCACTTCCCCATTTCTGTCAAGCAACAAAAACAGCATGGATTAGAGTTCTGTCATGAAGATATAACAATTATTCGATGAAATTTGTGAAGGGTTCAATGATAAAATATACGATGCACTTGGTGATACCTTGGTAGGGAACCCAATTGTTTGTTTCAGAATTTCTTTTGGGAAGGTATCTAGCACTTGAACAGTCTGCAGATCTTCGGAAGCCCTTCATTACACAAAGTACAAGATTGTATAGAGGTAATTAGATAGTTGAATGTCAGTGGCAATAGCAAAGGAATTCCAATAATGCTTATTTACCATATGTAGTCCACTGTTCCCATAAATTTTCTGTTGTAACTTGTTACTAGAGGCTCCTTGTTGGCATCTTTTGTCCCTTCAAAATCCTGGTTGAACAATAGTTACCACAATCACAATTGTTTCACATGATTGCCTGGAATTTATTGGTTCTAGAAAATTATTCTATATAAAAAGAGTAAATTTGCACTTTTGCACTAGCTATTTGTCCTTTATTTCACTCTGCACTGGTGTTTCAAACAATATTTTCACTTTGCGCTGCCCAAAGTCACCAACAGTATTGCAGTTTGCACCAGCCAAATCTCATGTTGGTCTTATCCAATTGTCTGTCGTCGTTATGAATCAAGCACCTTTGGTGATTTCCAACACCAGGCTAGACTGCTACAGCCCAGTATTGTGTTGTGTTAGTGGTTATACAGTTAACTGGAAATGAACTCGGCTACTGAAAAACTACAACCTTCGTTAGCTTAGGGTGGTGCAAAGTGAAAACATTGCTTAAATGAAACTACTGCAAGGTGGAACAAAGAAAAAAATGGTGTGAAGTGCAATTTATTTTGTTTATAGAGTTAAGAACTACACATATTGCAACCCGCCAAAAATTAGGCATCTCAGAACGAGCTAACAGTTGATATCTGATATATCTAAATAAAGATGAGTGGTGAAACATGTTGATTTCTCACATCAAAGATTGATGGAGAAATTGTAGCTAGCCATGTGAAGTTAGCGGTTACCTCCACATCTGTGTAGACACTTCGGACTTTCAAATTATGTTCCACGAAGGTGCAATCTTCATTCCCAGTAGCAGCTTTAATTTCATCTGGTGTCCACCTGTATGGATCATAATCGTAATATCTTTTATCAGAAGTAATCACTTGCTGGGCAGATGGTGAACCATCTGAGGTTGTTTGCAGCTGGTCTTCATCTTCAAGTAAAAATTCATTAACACCAGAAAACTCTTTAAAGATGGAAGGATCTGCATTCACATCTGAGCACAAAACTTCATTGGATGCCCCATCATCCTCAAAAGCACAAGAACAATTTCCAAGCTCATTTGAACATGAATGCGATTTTGAAAGCCTGTTTATCACTTCAGGTGTACATTGAACATCACAAGTGTCAGAAAAGGCACAATCTGTGTGTTGCAAAGGCTCTAGTGGTGATGTTAACTGAGTTGGCTCAGTATTGTTTTCTTCTTCTAGCCTCAGATTACTCATTTGATGAAGTGTATCAGCAAACTTCAGGGGATCACTGAAACAATTTGATTTTGATTCACTACGCATGCAATTATTTTGAGTAGACAAAGGTTCACTGTCTTGTTCCTTTTCATCGGGTCTGACCTTTGATATATCAAACAGTGTATCTGACTGGACATTGTTTCGCTCAAAATCACAAGTAGCTTTTCCAGAAATCACATGACCAGGAAAGTTTGCCAGGGTATTTGAACTGTTATTGCTACCACCAGCTAATTCTTCCCAAGAATCTTTAGATTCAGATGATTCATAAGATGGAAGAAGCTGACTTCTATCAACTATTTCACTCGAATCTGACTGAAGGGTCTCATCATTTACTGTCGTTGAAGCAGACGAAAAGTTTGTAACGTTAGTTTCTTCTACAGAGCTCTTTTTTATTACTCCATATCCTTCACTGGAGTTGTTAACCACTGAAGTTTCTTCACCATTAGTGGTGTTGGTATGTGCTTCAGCATCAGATGTATAGGCTTCCTTTGTAGGACCTTTCACACAGCCCATTAATTCTTGCTCGTGAGGATTTGTAGAGCTCTCTGGGTTTAAGAAAGAGTCTGAAGCAGTATCAGTCAAAGTTGGTTCTCTGCCAGAAAGACGAGAATTTTCCGTTACATTTCTTGCTTCAGGTTGAGGCTTATGATCATTTGGGTAACTTATGCTACCCTCCTTACTATTCGTCGTGTGAAAAGGCGGATAGAATCTGTTAAATACCAAAAAGCATCAAACAAAGGTCAGTTAGGTTAAAATATGCAGAAAAAATTGTCAAAAGAGGGTGTCTCTGATAAAGCAGAAGGTTCACCGAGCTGTGTTAGGACCAGTATATAGTCCCTGTGCAGTACTAGTTTGCTGCCCTGATATATTACTCTTCACAAGACCGGACAGATTCAACTGCATGATTATTATGTTGTGTGAGTTTCAGTTTCTCAAAAACAGCCATTTTCAAGTTAATACAGAACACTCTTTACCTTTTGCTCCAGCATAAAATTGTACAGAGGGCTCTGAATGAGGAAGAAATGGGTCAGACATTTTGACCTTGTTACATGTAAGCATGTAATAAAATGTCCAAGAAATACAGTGAACCAGATATGAATCTTTAATATAAAATGGTAAGGTACTGAATATTGCCTTGGGTGTAGAGTTGAAATCTCCACAAATTATTACTGGAGCATCATTCCATGTCTTTGATAGAGCATACACTCGATCAAGAAGCGTCCTTACCTGTAAGTATGACAAGAAAATTAGTATTCAAATAATACGTATGAAGGTGCATAATGTACTGACTATTGATGGTCAAGAAAGATGATAGAAATACTAGGTAATGCAGCTATACTTTGTTTCAGTGATGAAAGTATAAAACAAGATAATAGCAAAAGACCACAACCCACCTAGTCATCTACAACGAGAGGGTGGAAAACAATGCACGATCTCAAATGATGCCATGAAAGCATCAGAAAGCAACACGATGGAAGATAAGGTGTACATTGTTGCTCAGTACTTAAGGTCTAACAAGGTGTTATTTCTTTACCATGTTATACTAAAAACAAAAGTGCTTAGGCCAAGAGGCTAATTCTGGTGAAAAAAAAATCATACTATAAAAGTCTGAACTAATGTAGGAAATTAAGACTCACGAGTGACCACAACATAATACCTGACCAAGTTTGATGTCCCCTCTCTTTGGATTGTAAAGAACATGAGTATTGCATACAATAATTTGCTTAGCTTGTTGAGGATGGTTAGGGCTGTGAAACGAAAGAATGGTTATAAAAACATGGATAGATAATACCAATGTGGACATGTGGGTTATGAAATTTTCTCTTCAATAATAAAGGAACGTGGAATAGGAACTACACAAGCCAGAAACAACTAATAAAAAGGAGACAGCATAACACCATTGTCACAACTCACAACTGTGATGCATAGTTTAGAAATCTTGAAGTTTCAATTACCTAGACTCAGTTTGCACATTTCCTGGAATCACCGACTGAAAAATATAATGAGGAAACGATTAGCAGATATAGGCCATGCAAGATTGGCAGCATAAAGAAAGCTTCAATTCAAAGTGATCAGTAGTTTGCCCAACGATTTCAAGCCCACCTCTAAAACACAAATCTGTGCAACATTATCACGGAGATCAATCTTATTGAACTCGATATCCTCTTGATAGCGCAACTGAAACCTACAAGATGAAAAATTTTGGATGACTATGAGAAGTCAAAGTAGAAGTTTTTTAATGTAGGTATAACATCAGGAGAAATAATTTTGTATCATACAAAAGGTTTCTTTCTTTAAAAAAAAGAAGAAGAAGGGAAAGACAGGATTGACACACCTAGCTGTTCGCCAAAAGATCGCACATCCATCAGTGGCATTTCCAGTCCGCATCTGTACCAAAGGTCCAGCATAATGCGTAAATCATACGGTCAAGCAGATTCAAGAAAATTGTGTTTCCTCAATGGCAATCACTAATGAAAGTTTCAGTTCTGCGCATGCTATGTAATCAAGTAACTGTAAATGAGTAGTTAGAAGCACTGGCCATTTTTGCACAACTATATTTTGTCCACTTCATCAACAGAGTAATTCCTGTGATATATACCCACTCTGTCGATTTTTATAGGGAATATTTTCATTTAAAAAAACAAATTGTAGATTTTGACCAAGAATTAGTCAAATGACCAGTAAATTTAGTGTGTATAAATTATAACGATAGATATAAATTCATACTTCAAAATGCTTTCGAACATCGGTTTAAAACTATTGGATATTACCTTCCATATGCCATTATATCCTCGAGTTGCCATTTCTTGCTCAAGGTCTGTAAATTTGTCAACCTCCTACAGGCATAACCAAGGAATATAAGTCTAACGTGTGTCAATATAGATCCCATTTAATCATTAATATCAAAGAAATGTGTTTATAGCATACAGGTTATATTCATCAAGAAGTGTCAAAAAACTAACAAACTTTATCCTTTGTATGATTTCTAGTTGACAATGTTATATGCAGCTATTGAACTAGCAGGGAGTGACCATGTAGACTAGTGGCCTTGCAATTCCTTGCAATTTTCCAAATTTCAACTTTTCGAGATAACATAACTAGCTCCACGAAGGTATTACCACTTTTTTAACTATTGACTTAGCAGCACAACCCTTCTGAATTACTGCAGTACAGCAGTTATAAATTACCTGAAGACATAAAATATCTGGAGACCACAAACCAAACTCGAACACTAACTTTTCCTTCCGCCAGTTCCAATCCATGATGAAAGATGGTATGCGCTCATAAAGAAACTGGTGCTCCTGGGCCAGATAATCAGCTAGTATATTGTATGATAGAACCTTAAACCTCTCTGCATGATAAAAAAAGATCTACTCAATATACCAAAGGAAAACACGTGGTAATTTTAAAACAAGAACATCAATTCCACACACATAATGATTACTCGACTTTAATACTCTTGGTCTAAAACACACCATGTCCATGGGTAATTATCTGACTGAATTATTCATATACGGAAAGTGTCTACTTTTACATCTTCAATACTTCTGAAAGTTTAGTTTTCACCCCTCAACTGTAAAACTGAATAGATTACAATCATAAGCTTGAAATAAGGTGTTTGCTCATGGATAAGATGCCCATGGACCCTTTTCTGTTTCCCTCTCCCATTCTCTTTGCCCATTATCCTGTCACAGAACAAGATAGTTAGCTGTGATATTGATTTAGCTGAGGAGAGAGGGGAAAGGTAATAGGAGGGAAAGAGAAACTGTATCACTTTTCCAATGCCTTGCTGTGGCATCAGTGCTAGCATGGCAGTGGATGTGGCGCTGAAGTCTGTTTCAGGCTTGATCGGTTAGGGGTGTAATTTATCTGGTATAGAAGGTTCAGTGGTGGTTTTCATCCACCTTGAGAATTGAGGTGTGAACACGTAAACTTTTGGAGGAGTTGAGGGGCATAAACTAAATCATTTTCCTTCATATATCATATATCACATACCACATGGCACATCTGTTGTCTAAAATCAAGTGAAACTATAATCCATTACTAGTTTAGTACACAAACCAAATTGAAAAGCTTTCACCATTTTGACTTCAGAGAAGTGCTAAGCCATCAAATATTAAGAAACTCCGATCATTAATAACCTAAAAGTTTTTCCACACAAAAAGTAAAAAGCAATTACACTATTTTTTACTTCAGAGAAGTGCTCCCTGGATGGTTTGCTATGCGATTCTACTACTACTGCAGTGCTAAGCATTGAGACAGAATATATCACAGACTCTGGAAGATGTTACCGGCTTGGCGTGGTGGCCGATGCTGCGTGAATCGCCACCGTCGGCGGTACTCCGCTAGCCTTGGTGATTGCTGCGGCGCACCAGGCCTGAAGCCGGCGTACGGCGGCCGGAACCCTGCATTTGTTGGCCCACGCCAGTACGGCTGCGGATGCCCCTGGACATACGGATTCGGGGTCGCGTATCCGTACTGAGGATCCTGTGGCTGCGGCGGCGGGGGCCCGTAGTTGTACGGCACGGCCCCGTAGGGCGGGCCCGGCTGCTGCGGGTGGCCGTAGTTGTACGGCACGGCCCCGTATAGCGCCGGCGGCGGCTGAGGCGGCGCGTATCCGTACAGCGACGGAGGAGGCCCGCGGCCGCCGCCGCGGCGGAGCGAATCGTTGGAGGCACGCACCGCGCTGTGGTGGGAGTCGCCGCTGACGAGCTCGGCGCCGGCGTCGTGGTGGTGGTGGGGAGGCGGCGTGGGTCGCCCGGAGTAGTAGCCTCGTCGCGGGCGAGCGGATCCTCGGGCCTGCAAGAGAGAGAGATTGAGGAGATGGGGAGGGTTTAGACTCTAGAGGCGAGGAAGGATGGGGGATTCGGGGGAGCAATCCACGAGGGGAGATGGGCGGGCGGGCGTACGTTGTAGTAAGCGGACATGGCGGCGGCGCGGCGTAGAGAGGCGCGGGAGGCAAGGCGCATCGCTTTGGCGGCGCTCACGACGGCGACGGCGGGCGGCGGCGGCGGTGGCGGCGCGGCCGCGTTCGACGGTCGAGTCGCTGTGGGGGTTTGAGGCCCGCGTGCTGATGACGTAAATAGTCCTTCAGTACGGGAGGGTCACTTTACGCCTTCGGAAAGCGATAGCGCACATTTGCTCTCCGTGTTCAGATATCGAAGGTGAACCATCGTATCGGAATTAAGGGCTGGTTTGGTTTGATGTCTAAATTAGGCTTATCAATATTTAGCAATTTCAATAGTGTTTAGTGTCTATTTGGTTTGAAGCTAAATTTTGGCATGCCTAAGAAAATAGGCCATTTCAATAGTGAACTTAGGTTATTTTGGCTTCAATCTAAATATAACTTTGCCTTACCAAAATTAGTCATGCCAAAACTTACCAAAATTTAGCATTGACAAAATTTGATAAGGTCTATTTAGGCCACAAACCAAACCAACCCTAAACTTTTTTGGGGTTAATTTCTTGTGTTTCAAGGGAGCCTTGCAAATCTCTGGGCCTCCCTTTCTGGCACACATTGAACATGGTTTGAATTCTGATGGATCCTTTCAATTTTCCAACATGGGATTTCATATAATATATAGAAATTCATATAAACTTTTCAGGATTGTTTTACACGAATCAGCTCAATTTTCCGTTATAGTCGAAGAAATTAAGGTAGGTAAGAAGGAATTAAGGAAGAAACTAGGGGAGGTTAGCCGAATAGACGATAGGGGAGGAGTTTGTATAAATCCTCCGTTCTACACGAGGCCTTTCACTAGGAGAGGAGTTTGTAGTAGGCTATCGTAGAGCCGGTGAATTTAATTTGAATTGAAATGCAGAGGGATTAGGGAACAACTGCACAATCCATGTCTATAGAGAATTAGAATGCCACCATTCTGTGGGCAAAATCACTTAATACTTTAACACATCAACACAAGCAAAAATATCACTCAGCATACATGTACGATGCAACTAATAAGTACAGTCCAGCTGTAGATTGCTGCAACCGCACAAGTACACGCATAAACTTTTGCCAAGCATGGCTTGCTCGCATCTATAAACATATCCCATGGTAACGTATGGTTTGCTTGTATGCCTATTGATACTGCAGCGAGGGTCGCCTCCTTCGAGGATTGATGTGCCTAAACATATCTTCGACCATGCAGCAATTGTATATACTAATCTGGGGTTCTCGAGTCTCGACTATGATTACTGGAAAATGTTTGTATCAACAGATCCTATGTAGCATGGCAATCCTCGGCACGCATCAAGAGGTTTGTTGCATCCTATTCGCAGAAAGTGGAAGCTACATGAGCTGCAAAGTCCTCAGACGCTGCTCTTGCTCTGGATCCATCTTTGGTGGTGTATAACACCCGCGAAGGTCCTCCACCACATATTCCTGCACATCATCAAACAGTGGAAGTACAGAGTATTAAACGAGCTGATTAACAAATACTACTATTTCACTGGTTCAGAGGAAATGACAAGTGATGACTTCAAGCAGTGTTTACCTTTGTGAGCTCCCTTTTGGTAAGTATGTGATAGTGTCTCTGCAAGATCCTCTGGACGGCTACGGTTGCAGCGAAGAAGCCATATGCAACTCCAAGTATAGCAAAAACAATGACAAATATCACAGCCAGAGCAAGGCAAGCTTCTATTGAAGCGGGAAAATCCAGTATGCCCCACCCATAGCAACAATTGCGGCATCCAGCCAGGCATGGATCATTGGTGTTGAAAGACGAACACTGTACTATCAGTCCAATGAATCCTACCATTACAAAGAACACCACTACTCCTGAAAAAAAAATGATTTGACACAGATATCAGTAACTAGCTTTCTAGAAGAGGGTGCTAACGCCTTTTACTTGAGGAAGCTTGTCAGATAGGAGTAATAACTTCAAAAATTGTTTATCAAATAAAAATAAGTTCCAACGACCTAAAATTTTGTGATAATTGAAATGTTGCCAGAGGTAGAGAGTGTTACTCTGGGTGACATGTTTGACCTACTATATAGAATTTCTATTTTCAGTGCACAAGAAAAACATGAGATTATGGTTACAGCAGGGAAGCAAGATTGATTTTCATTAATTGTATGCTTGTATGACACAATAGACAAGTTGAGTCATGAGTCATGACTACATTATAAATGGTAGTAATGAGCATTTAACTGCAGCAGATCATGTCAAATTATCAATCATTATACGAACTGCAATCAGAACTGAAGGAAAAGAATTGCATACCGACACAGTAGTAAAAGGGCACAGGATGATTTGATAGGATGTGTTCCCAACCATCAGAAAAACTGTTTCTAAATTGTCCATCTTTATCCAACAGATAAGCCATACCACCGATAGCAGCAATGACCTGAAAAGCAAGGCAGATAAAAAGTATGTCAGAGCACCATACCAAAAACAGAACGGTGCAAAATTGTAGTAACTCAGGTTCACAGAGGTTTCAACAAAAGAAATAATATATGCAGTCTTTTCTGTGTTTAATAGAGCCAGCATACATGTGAATGAGAAACAACAACGAGCAATTAGAAAGAAAGGTGTTCTTACAGTCTGTACAGCCAGGAATACAAGGAAAACATCCCTAGCAACAAACAATCGAAACATCATCTTGCGACACAGGTTGTCCTCCAGACATTCGACACGGAGATGGAATTGTGCCTTACATGTTGTGCAGTGAGAAAAGGCAGTTCCTTCCTGCAGAAACAAGCGCAATAAAGCAGTATTGTAAAACAAGGTCTACAAGGCCACATAACTTGTAAGATTAAGCCACATAAGGGGAAAAACTATGCCATATAAGCTTTATATGGTGGGGTGAAAGCACAATACCTTGCCATAAAGTAAGTTAAGTGTAATAAAGCTAAACAATACACTAGTACATTTTAAGAAGCCAACTCTATCACCATCAAAAACATCTCACTAACAAGCATTTGAAACAGACGAAGCTTTGTACACTGGACATATAATAAGAATAATTCATCAAAGACTATGCCTTCCACCAAGGTTACATATCATCGGTTCATCGCGTTACAACAGCAGAGGCGACACTAGGACAGACTAGCAGAGCTTTTTCCGGAAATTCGTAAATCCAATGTTGGGAATGTAGGTACTAGCAACTGGCACTTTACCTTAACAGACCTCCAATGATCAAGGCAGTAGCGATGCACGAACTGCTGCGTCCCTTTGCACATACAAGGAGAAATCAGCTCATCACCTGAAGCAGCACACGAGCAACACCGATCAGTTAAACAGGCCCCGCACCGCACCGTATCAAACCCTAGGAGATTTCTCCTCGTATGCATTCTCAGGATCAAAAACTCCTCCGCGTGCCGGCAGTAAATATAATCTCAAACACCTATGCGTCCTGGAGAGGTGGGGTGGTGCGGCGTACAAGCCGCGAGGCGAGGGGGTTTACCGGGCTCGGTCTCGGACTCGAGGCAGATGCGGCAGCAGGCGGCGGAGGCGGCCTCGATCTCCTCGTCCTCTATCTCCTCGTCCTCTATCTCCGCCGGCGAGCGCGGCGGCGGCGGGTGCGCGAGGAGGGGGTCGGTCTCGGCGGCGGCAGCGGGATAGCCGCCGGCGTCGCGGTGAATCCGCTGCGGCTCCTGCATCGCCGGAGCGGAGAAGAGAGGGGAAGGATTGGGGATTGGAAGGAAGGAATTGCCGAATGCCGGAGCGCGCGGTCTGAGGAGGAAAGCGGAGTAGCGGACGCAATTATTTTCTCTTTCCTCGGTCGTTTGTGTTTTTTTCCCCTTTTCTTTTTCCCGGCCGGATACTTTGGCTGAGCTCGAGGTTCGGGGCAATTTAACTATTTGCCACTTTTAGGTTTATCAATTATTCAAATGTCTTTTTTATATATATATGTTTAATAATTTACCACTGAAGAGAGGTGATTTCTTAACTATTTGCTACTTTTGCCTATGTGGGGAGCCGTGCCCGCATGGAAAGCGACGTGATCCCACCCGTCAGCCCCTCCCCTCTCCTTCTTCCCCACCTTCGGCCGTCGTATCTCCTCCATCCCGGCTCGCCTCGCCATGTACAGCTGCTCGTGCGCCGACGTCCTCCTGCGGCGGCAGCTGGCGACCCGCGACGACGGTGTGGGCGGAGGTGGCCACGGCGGCGGGGTGCGCGGAGGCGGCTGCGGGTTCTTGCCGCCGTCAGAGCTGACAATGGCGCAGGACGCCGGGGCAGCGGCGGCGCAGGACGTAGGACCACGGCAGCGGCAGCGCTCACAGCTGAGCTGGGCTAGCTCAGGGGAAAGATGTAGGGGTTGCGACGGCCAGAGGTGGAGAAGAAGTAGAGGGGAGGGGTTGACGGGTGGGGACCACGTCGCTTTCCATGCGGGCACGCCACGTTGGTTCGCCACGTAGGCAAAGGTGGCAAATAGTTAAGAAATCACCTCTTTCTAGTGGCAAATTATTAAGCACAAACCTAAGAAGGGCATTTGGATAATTGATAAACCTAAAAGTGGCAAATAGTTAAATTTCCCGAGTTCGGGAGACAGGTTCTCAACTTGCCTCTTGACACGAAAACTAAGCAAACAATTAGAACGAGATTAGTTTAGTATTAGCCTAAAAAACTTGAAAATAAATTAATATAATTTTTTAAAATAACTTTTCTATAAAAAAATACTTTTAGAAAAATACACACCGTTTAACCGTTTGAAAAGGCACACGGAAAACGAGAGAGGTGACTTGGAGAAAAAAAAGGGGAAAAACACAACATTTACTCTGTATCCGATTGTCTCACTTATATTTATACTCCCTCTGTATATCCATCCACTCAAAAAAAATATATTATGTTTTGGGACAGAGAGAGTATGTTTTTAAGTCAAAATTTAATTTAAAAAATATTTTACTGCGTTTTGTTGTAGTTTATTTTATAGTATTTGTTTTCACCGTTAAAGATACAAATATAAATTTTTCACTCATATTGGAAGCATTAGCTTTGGCTTTGGCTTATTAGGGCAACCAATGAGGCTCTTAAGCCACTAATTTGCTAATCAATATATCTGAACGGTCTGATCCAACTATTCTTAGCTTTGGCTTTGGTTTTTTAGGGCAACCGATGAGACTGTTAAGCCACTAATTGCCAATCAGTATGTCTAAACGGTCTGATTTGTGTCTAGAAATTTGTTCCAATAATGGATTGACAGTCCCAACCGTGAAATATTAAAAACGTCAGGTGGCGTCTAGTCATCAGGGTTTATAAAACTGTGGGATTATCGTGGTTATCACGTGCGATAACCTATAACCTTCTCAGTTTTTAAAACCACGATATACCTCGAGATAACTGTGCGGTTACCACGATAATCGCTAAACCGTAGGGTGACGGTAACCCCACCCAAAACAATTTGACGAACCCTTCTAGTCGTACGACTTGATAACAGTGGGACTAGATAATATGTTCCGATCCGAGTCGTAGCTGTGTTACAAGCAAATTGTCAATTTGATGGTTGTAACCCCGTTCGTTTCTCCAACTAAGAGTTGGATGTCAAACTGCTAACAGTGTGTTTCATGTGAAAACTCAATTAATATGAAAGTTGTTCTAAAATATAAGATTAATCTATTTTTCAAGTTTGTAATAATTAAAACTCAATTAATCACATGTTATTACCACCTCATTTTGCGTGAAACACTTAAACTTTTATCTTCATCTGAAGATCATCTTCAGGAGATTTAGAGAGATGTGAGGCGGTCAACGCAAACGACGAACTAAGACACGCATGAATTGACCAGATGAGATAAAAAAACAACCATTTCCAGCAAGTCAGCAACTAATACAGGCCTAAAAATAATGAACAAACTTGCTCCTCGGATTTGGAATGTTAACTTTAGCATTCATTTATTGCAAGTAAATGGTCCTCTCAAGAATACGCTTCCATCATGACATACACAAAACCATTTCGTCCAGAGGTTCTCCTGTAATTAACAGACAAATTTGTTCTTACATCAGAGGTTGATATGCTTATATAACCATTGATTTTCAACAAATAGAGAATGACTGAATAACCAGCATAAATGGACGTTGTTGATCTTGAAGTAACTGGTTTACCATTTAATTATGATTGGAAACTAACAAAAAAAATAAAATTGTTGGAAGCTCCTGTTTCAAATTTATGAATCGTGTACTGACTATATATGGAGTGCATGCAAATCATCACTAACCCCTAGGGTGTGTTCGGAGCTTCTAGTTCCCTAAGAACTCTTGAAGGCATAAACACTGAGCAAAATCCACAAACAGGGAGGAATGCAGAAACAATGTAATCCAAAGACCATAGTAACATTTAGGCATACCTCAAGTAGTAAGTGTAGCTTGTAAATACAATGCCCCCAATAGCACCAAGCCCTAGAAGAAGAATAAGTGCTACCAACCAACCAGACATTCCATTCTTCCTAGAATTTGTTTGCTCTGCCATGTCGACACCACAGCTCTGCTCATTGCAAGCTTCCTGTCTTGCAGGCTGCCAAACAAGAAATTTAACAAGTGAGAGGGAAAAAAATTACCAGCACAATAAAGAAGAATATATGGCATATCGAGAATAAAGGTACTCTATACTTAAATATGATATGACCCTGTTTTCAGGAGCTTAGCTTTGAAACAGTTATTTTTTTTAAAAAAAGAAAAAAAATAGTACATCAAACAGCCAATTAACCGACAAGGTACAGCGCAGGACAATGATTTTTTTTTCTTGCAGGTTCATTGCTTATGCTTCCCAGTTGCCTACCAAACAGGCAGTGCCTGTATTACAGTAGAACTGTAGAAAGGTTTGGTCAATCTTCATTAGATCCAATGATAAAACATTAATTTCAAAGCCACATGTATTAATCAACATCAGATTCATCTATTCTAAAACATCAAATATCTGATCCCATAATTGTGGAGTTACAATGATTTGGTTCAACTTTTGTGATTGATAACAAGCTTCAACAGTTCAACAGTAATTATCTTGACGAAATGCAAGGTTAAGAGTAAATCAGAAAAGAGATGATAAATCATGCATGAAGCCAAACATTAAGAGCTATTCCAGAGAAAGTACAAAAGGCGATCGGAAACATTAAGTTAAGAAATAAATGTACCATATGTGAAAAAGAATGAAAGCAAAAAGGCAATATGCACTACTATAGAAACATTATGAATTTGAACAGCCCTCACTGAAGTACCATTTCATCTGCTGAACAGCTAGCATCATCTACAGGATAATGTTTGATTGTGGCATCAGATAAATTTCCATAACAAGCAACATCACGATACCGCACACCACCATCGCATGGCGAGGAGCACTTCATCCATGGTCCAGCAACCCAATGATAGATTTCTGCATATATTAGTATACTACCAATCACTTATTCTCCAAGTAATGTATCAACAATTGACAACTGAATCGCCTGTGAACAATTTCAGCACAAATTATGAACGGTAAAGAAAAACTGCAAAATGGTCTCCTTGGGTAGTACTAAATTTGAGTGCGACTCTAGTGCAAAGAATAAAAAGGTAGAGGAAACATTTTAATGGTAAATTGAGCAAGAACAATTGAAGGACCTAAGAACATGAAAAGAACTAGGAACAGCCAAATATCTGAAAGATAAATCACAGAATATTTTGTAAACATCAAATTATTCCATGCAAACTGCAGGATTCACATGTTCATGAACAGTTAAATATACCGTGTGGTTTTAACTGCATTGATAGCTCAGCACCACTCTTACAGTAACCCATTTTTCTATGCTTGATCAGAATGGTTGGGTCAGAGCAATCAGAGCAGCATACAAATTCTTTGCCAAAATCCAGCTTGTTCTTGCAATGCCCACATTTGTTTGTTAGCTTTGGGGTGCCTGTCCTTCAGAATATAAACAATGTATTAGAACACCAGAGTAATTCATTACAATGTTTCTGTAATGTTTGAAAAGGATGGTCTAGATTCTGCGCCTACTTATGCTAAGGATGGATGCAGAAGACTAATGTAGAATATAGTAGATGATTGAGCAACTTTCCAACAATACATATACCCATGCACACACCTGTTATGCAGCAATGGAAATGTTTGTGGAATGGAAGACATGGCGGGCTTTTTGACTCCGTGCAAAGACCATCACAATCATCTGATTGAGAATCTAAGAAGTGGCCAGCAGAACACACTCTAGACCATTTGCTTTGGCACCCAGTCCAGTAGCACCCTGCATGTTGAATGTTACACTTCTATCATAATGCGGTATTGCTGACTTTACCATGAGTCCATGAACATGCATGACACATATATTTAGCATAACTTAAAATTTTCCATGCCATGACCAAGCAACTTAAAAATTCCCAAGAAATGCCCTGAAAGGATATTTTAATAGCATAACTGTCACTAAATAAAGTGACCGTTTTTTGTTCAATTTACCAATCAAGTGAGTCATGCAGGGTTTATAAGTATTCCAATCATTTCGATTTCGTTAGCTGGACATAATCTCCAGTCTTTGGAATTCTGAGTTTTAGGACTACGCATCCTGGTTTGCGAACTGTGCAGTTATTATTAGCTCATCAGTGTCACGTAACAAAGTAGATCGAAGAACACCGCTAGTCCACTACTCTTCAAGCAACTGGACACTCTAAGCAATTTGGCAAATTTAAGCAGTCGACTCGAAACCTGGGCCAATTCGTCCAGGAACCAAATTATTCATTTCCTGAAAAATAATACTACTAACGTAAAGTCGAATCTCGAAAAGCCCCAAATCCAAATCCAAGTGCCCAACTAGAGTCCTCCAGTCCCCCTAGTCCTCCTAACACCACATTTCGACTTCTCGAGCTCTCCGGAGCAAGCCAGTTCCTGGCTGGGCTTCCGAGGCAGATGCATTCGGTTACCGTGGGACGGGACGTCGAGGCAGGCGGCGACGGCGAGGAAGGGGAGCGCCAGCGCGCACAGCCGCGGCAGCGCCGCCGCCATCTCCGGCGGCCGCCCCGCCGTCGAGGAGGATGGCCAAGCCACGGCCTCGTTTCGTTCCGGGGTGGCGCGAGAGGTGGCCGGTGGGGGTTGGTGACTCGGTGCGGTGGCGCGTGCCGGCCCGCGCCGCGGTGGGGAGGGGAAGGGTTAGCGAGTCGCTCGTTCGCTCGCTCGCCGTGCGCCCCCCGTGTCGGTGTCGGTGTCGGCGCCGGGCAGGCAGCTGTTTTCGGGGGGGGCTACGGGTGGGTTGGGCGGTCGCCGCGTCGCGCGGTGATCCTCCTGCTTCGGGCCTTCAACGCGAAGCCGGCGAGCTTGGGCGAGTACTTCTTTTGCCTGGGCCAGAACAGCACTGCGACGGAAATTCGGCCCATGCTTGATGGGCTGGGACTGGACTGAGACATACGTGCGGCCCATGTATATTCGGGCCGGAACGGTATTACCGCGTACGTGAGGCCGAACAGGTTTCGGAAAAGCTAATTCGTGTGTACGTGTTGGCGGCGCGCACGCCGGCCCACTAAGGCCCATGCACGCACGAGCTGCGCTTCTCTCTTTTTTTTTCTTTCTTTTTTAGCCGCCGTTTCTTTTTTTTTTTGCTGTTTTTTTTCCTGCCGTACGGATAGGAGAAAAAAATCGTAATTAGTTTAGATTAGTTTCATATTTTTACTAGGGATTAGTTTACTAGTAATTTTAAATATTAACTTTAAAATTTTCAAATTTAGATATGAAAATTTTCAAATATCGAGTTGAAAGTTTTTAAATATCAAGTTAAAAGTTTCAAAATTTTCAAATCTAGACTTGAAAGTTTTTGAATCGAGTTAAAACTTTTCAAATCTTGAGTTGAAAAGTTTCAAATCTCAAGTTGAAAGTTTTCAAAATTTTCAAATATAGACCTGAAAGTTTTCGAATCTGAGTTGAATCTCAAATTGAAAGTTTTCAAATCTCAAGTTAAAAGTTTTCAAAACTTTCAAATCTGGACTTGAAAGTTTTCGAATCTGAGTTGAAAGTTTTCAAATATGAGTTGAATGTCTTCAAAATTTGAATTTAAAATTTAAATCTTTAATCAAAAGTTTCTAAATCTAACTTAAAAAATCGAAAAGAACACGTAAATGAATTAAAACATGCCGAGGAGAAGGGACGTGAAAATAGGAGAAAAATCAAGGAAAAAAAGAGAGAAACGTATAAGGGGGAAGGGCGTGGGCCGTGCGCACACGCGCAAGTCAAGAAGCCCCAACAGGTTTGGTCCGGAACGGGAGGCCGACACGCGTGCGGCCATGTACTATGGCCTGTGGGCGTGTAGCTGGCTGTAGCCGGTTGCGACAACTAGCTGTTAACGACCAAATTTGGTAATCGTCATCGGAGATGAAGATTAGACTGAAGCAGAATCCAAAACAGAGATCGTCCTGGAAACAGAGCGGGAATCAGCTAGATCAGAATCGGCTGCGGCTTTAATTGGCAGAGTTCGAGTCGGACAAGGTTAGCGATTGAGCCGAATCCGACAATGTGACACGGTATACGTTGTCAGGTTGAGTTAATGTGCTTCATGAAGATTGCCGTGCACGGATTGAGTCCTGAGAAGGCAACTGTATCTATTAATTAGGATATTTTATGTAATTTCCTTAGAGATATGTTTGGGCAAAAGTCTGCCGCAAAGACTTGTGGTATCTTAGAGTTTGTTAGAGATAAGAGTCGTGTCCGACATGGACGTATTTTGTAATCTCGGGTATAAATAGACCCCGAGCCCCATTTAATCAATCGAACACACGTTCAATACAATCTCGACGCATCGCCACCCTTTATTTTCGTTTTGTTTCGACGAGTTCTTACTTTCGGGTTGAGCTACATCGGTTTCGATCTTCAACTAGAGGTAAAACTTATTATGGCGGCTTGCGTTCTCGGGATTAGTGCTTCCATCTTTATGACACTCTAATATTGTTTATGTAATTCGTCGAATTATCATATATCCAATATAATCTCCGGCAATATTGCTATCTAACCTCCAATCGGCTAACGTCTGTTACTAGAAGGCAACCGATCAGGTTAAATACTGACGTTGACTTAGATTATATAGGATATCTACCACTCTATGAAACATCCAACGGCTTGATTGTCTAGATATTGTCCTTCTTTTCATACTTATAGCTGCATCAGTTGAGTTTGACCTTATAAGTCGTGATTAGAATCTCAATCTCTAGTCTGCTTTTGGTTGCTGATTAGGGTAGCATCGGGGTTTCAGCCGATCTTATCTGATTTAACTACTTTTATCTTATATACTTGATTGATATATTAAATCTGCCCTTTATGTTAAAATCTCGTTGCATTTAAATATATTAGGCTTTTGTTTGGTATATTCCACTTGCTTTGATATCTTAATATGGAGTGGTATCGGAGTATTAGCCGATACATGCTATATCTATCTGATCGGCTATGCTATGAACATATATAATCTTGTTGTTAATATATATTTCGATCTAAGTGATTTATACTATCTCGGCATGGCGACCGATCTAACTCAATCACTTGATTTAAGTATATATCGACATAAGAATTATATATTGCTAATATCTACAGCCGATCGAGTAGATTTAGTTCTTTCTTACTTATTCATGACTGCCGATCGATCTACATATGACATCGGCTCAAAGATAAATGATACGTCATCGGCAACTAGCCAATCGGCTATCGTTTATGAATTTAACCGCGGTTTCTTTGTCTTTGTTTATTGTTGATTGCAGGATCAAATCAACTAGCATGCTCACACACCTAAAGGCAAGCTTTTGGACCTGCATTGGAGTTAAGCAGATCTCCTAGGCCTCGTGTTTTTACATCAACACTAGCGCACAGCCAATCAACTTCGAGCATGTGCAATGGGTATCCCTGATCCGTGCCCCTACTCATGCCGTCGGGGTTTTACTCCGGAGCTGTCTCCCAGCAGAGGGGCACAACCCAGCTGCGAGGCGCCACGCGCCTCCCTCCTCTCTTGGCCCCTTTTCGTCGAGCCACGGAACCGGGCTCCGCGTTGGGCGCACCGTGGCTAGGGGAGTAGCTCGTGGGCACTGCTCCCACCCTGGATTTTTCTCTTCCACCCCTCGCCCTAGTAGATCCGGCGGTGAAGAGGAGCATCATCGGCGACGGTGAAGAGAGAGAAAGAGGCAGCGACGGGCGGAGGGAGAGAGGCAACTTTGTTTGTTTAGAGGGTGTTTAGATTCAGGGGTGTAAAGTTTTGGCGTGTCACATCGGGTATTATATAGGGTGTCGCAGGGGGTGTTCAGACACTAATAAAAAAATAATTACAGTTTCCGTCAGTAAACCGCGAGACAAATTTATTAAGCCTAATTAATCCATCATTAGCATAGGTTTACTGTAGCACCCGTATTGTCAAATCATAGAGCAATTATGCTTAAAAGATTCGTCTCGCAAAGTAGTCGCAATCTGTGCAATTAGTTAATTTTTAGTCTATATTTAATACTTCATATATGTATTCAAACGTTCGATATGACAGGGTGTAAAATTTTAGGTTAGGGTCTAAACAGGCCCTTAGACTGTTTGAGGTAACTTCTCTTTAAACGGTGTACTTTTTTAACAGAAAATTTTCAATATCATTTGGATCGAACTAAACCTAACGTCGTGTTTGGCAGATCAGGTTGTGAACTTCTCTTCCACGTACGTAAAACGGAGTGATTCATTAGCGTATGATTAATTAAATATTAGCTTAAAATTTTTTTAAATAGATTAATATATTTTTAAAGCAACTTTGTAGAAACTTTTCTAAAAACACGTTATTTAAATAATTCAAGAACCGTGTGTGTGCGGAAAACAAGACATTAAAAGTTAGGAAGTTACACTTAAAACACAGCTTTTTAAACTGCTAAACGGTACGTTTTTTACAAAAAGTTTATATACGAAAGTTGCTTAAAAAACCATATTGATCCATTTTTAAAAATAAATTAGCAAATAATTAATTAATCACGCACTAATGGATTGCTTCGTTTTCCGTGCCGGAAGGATGTATTCCCAACCCAAACAAAAGAACCGAGCCTTAGCCATGATCAAGACAGCAGATAGGGTGTTACTGGTTTTCTCCCCATTCTTCCCAACTGCAAACTTTCAGCCGAAGACCATATAATTTGGGAATTGCAAAGTCGGTTTTAGGAGCCAGTCCTCTTCCACACAAGTCTATAATTTGCATACTCGAGACACATTACTTTGCATCTGGGCCGCGATACGCGCCCCTTCAACAATCAACATGGCGAAGCTGATCATATCTCAGCGTCATTGTTTGACTGGCTCTTCGAGACTCTCTGTCCACGCCATGCGAGTATGCGACGAGGGGCGACCCGGTGAGATCGAAGCTTGAGTCTGTTACCCTGTAATGCCCGAGGCGCCAAGTGCCCGATTGAGACGAATGGTGATATATGGGTTCTTGTTCTCACATCTGGTCGCCGTAACACGACACCAACCATGCATCCACTCTGCCATCGGTCGAGCCGAGCATGAGTTCTCCCTAATAGTACATTATTGCTTGTGACCGGCTCCTTAATTCCCAAATCATGGCTTTGTTCCCGGGTAAAAAGCACCATTCCAGTAGGTAAAAAATATTCTAAACTCTTAAGGGACATTCACTCCTTGTTTCACTCCTTGTTTGTACGTCATCTAAATGATTATAATGAAACTTTAAAAAAATCAACAAAAGATATTAATATGTGATAAATCACTCTAGAAACATACAATGTCAGATTTAACTTATACAAGTAAAAAACCAATTTTGATTGTGAATATGTGTTAACTAGCCATAGTTTAATTTTTTTTTCACAGCGTGTAGAATGAATTTTATCTTGCATGTTTGTGGAGTGATCTATCACATATTAATTTATCTTGTTGAATAATTTTTTATAACTATTTAAATTACATATAAATAACGAGTAAATGTTTACTTGAGGTATTAGAATTCCCTCCTCGTTCAAGTATCGATATTCGTTTTTAGCGTTATTGTACATCCGTGTTAGCTTCTTTTATCTCAGGCCTTATTTAGTTCGTGAAAAGAGAATTTTTAAGTGTCAAGTCTGACGTTTGACCGGATGTCGGAATGGGTTTTCGGACACAAATGAAAAAACTAATTTCATAACTCGCGCTGGAAACCGTGAGACAAATTTATTAAGCCTAATTAATCCATCATTAGCACATGTAGATTACTGTAGCACTTATGGCTAATCATGAAATAATTAGACTAAAAAGATTCATCTCACGATTTTCATATAAACTGTGCAATTAGTATTTTTATTTTATCTATATTTAATGTTTCATGGATATGTTCAAAGATTCGATATAACGTTTTTGGGAAAAAAAAATTAAAAACTAAACAAGGCATCAGTAGGTCCCCCAATTGGCTCTATTCGTCAGATGAGAAAAAGGCTAATCTTGAGCTGGCACGGCCATCCATATCGGAATCGCCCTGACCTTTCAAGGGCAATCAGTAGTACTACCTCCATCCCAAAATAGGTGTAGCCATGAGTTTCTGCGTCCAACTTTAATCATCTGTCTTATTTAAAATTTTTTATAATTAGTATTTTTGTTGTTATAATATGATAAAATATGAATAGTACTTTATTCGTGATTTATGTTTTTATTTTTTTTTAAAAAAATAAATAAGACGAATGATTAAAGTTAAGTAAAAAAACTATGGCTGCACTTATTTTAGGGCAGAGGGAGTACTTCCAGTAGACTACTACTCGTAGCACAATTACATGTAACATGGTGGATCGATCTCGGAGAGGGGTCCCTACTTTGGGGTGATGATGACGGACTCTTTCCATGCATCTTCCCTTCTAGATCTGACAGTGACACCGGTACACTACAGGTGCGGGGAGAGTGAGACAAAGACAGCGACCGGTGACACCGATCAATATCTAACACACGCCCGTCCATCCTCCAGTGCCAATGCCAACATTTGCACACAAGAAAAATGCAAGTGTCCACGCACCGCGTCACCGCGCGATGGGGCGCGCAGAGCGGACATCAGAGCAAGGATAATGGTGAACTATAAGCAAGCTAAATACTTACGTGGAAGAGAGAGATAAATAAAAGTGGAGAGTGTTGGCTCTCATGTAAGAGCTAGCTCCACACAAGTTCTAAGAAATATATATTAAATTCATAGAGAGATAAAGAGAGAGGATGAAAAAATAAAGCTAACCTATTATATATGTTAGCTTTAACATTGGCTTATAATAAGTAGTGGGCTATACTACTAAACTTGCTCTCAGCGCACTGGCGCGATGATAGCCCGACCATTTCGATCCCCGCGAGTCACGCCGCCCCTCGCCACCGCCGGGGCTCGCTCGCTGCTTGGCTCCCGTCGGTGGTGCATTGGCGCGTGCGTGCGTGTTCGTGCTTCAAAAACGCAAGGCGAAGAGAGGTAGGCACCGCGCGACGGCTTTGCACTGCCTTGTGTGTCGGTTGCTGCACGTCTCGCTCACGCTGCATGCGCCACGCCGGATCAGATCGCGCGCGGGGCGGGACACGGACCGGGGGGGGGGGGGGGGTGGGTTTGGCGCGCGCGGCGCCCATCGGGGTCAGGCACACATGCCCGGTGTCGATCAGGCGCCTAGCTAGGCCCCCACCTGGCAGAGCAACCGACATTGAGCTGGCCGGCCTAGCTTCTCCTCTCTCTCTCTCTCTCTCGCCGGGGGCCCTCGGCCACCGCATCACGCACGCGGCCACACATCGATCCGCAGCCGGCCGGCAGGGCCCGCCAGGAACGTTCCTGCACTGCAGGCGATCGATCATGGCCCTGTACAATTCCTCCCTCCCATCACCATTTTTTTGAATTATGAGATGCAGCAACAACTTGTCCATCTGCACTGCAGCAGCAACTTGTAAAAACAATTCGATTGCACGCGCGTACAGCCAAATTAAGACAGCGAGTGCGAGGTGTGCAGCGTTTCTGTTCTTCCATGCCGTAAATCCGAAGCGAGACGTGCCGATCGACAAAGATACGACGCGCTATACACGTACCAGCGCTATCTCTTGTCTTATGACCGGCATACAGGCACTTCGATGGACGGACGCATCCATCCAAAACTGACGAAGGATTCAATCAAGTGAGCAAGTCCAAAGCACACACAGAAGACGGACAGAACAGACCACAGCATGAAAGCCGGACGACGCGCGCGGCCTTGGATTTTTTTTTTTTGTTTTGCACACGCGTCGATCGACGCATCGAGGAACGGAAAGCTTTAATCCCCAGACAGTTCTGCATGTGCTTCGGTTTGGTCGATGAAACAAGCAGGGCTACTGCGGAATTTTGCCTGTCGGTACGTTAGAGCAAGTTTAATAATATAGCTAACTACTAGCTTAAATTCATTTATAGCCAATCTAACTACTATCACACTTCGTCTTAGAGTCCGTGTTATAACTGGCTACAAATCTATAGTTCGCTGTCCTTCTCTTTTCTCATTTATCTGCTTAAAATATATTTACAGCTGGCTTATAGTCTGTGCTATTGTACCTGCTCTTATGCGGCGCGCGCTCGCCAATACTCCTACATGCGTGATCGCGTGGTTTTTCCTGGCGCGCGCGCCCTTCCCGGTGCCGTTTTTACTCGCGGCGCCGCGGGTGATCGATCCGCCAGCTCCGGGCGGTCACTTTCACATCAAGAAACGGAGGGGGAAATAGCCAGATAGGAGTGCACGGACGGCAGCTAGCTTAGCTTCTCGATCGATCGTCTTCTCGAGCAATGCCTTATCTCGGGTGCCATACCATGTCGACACACTCGCATCGCATTATCTTCGCCACTGACCGTCACTGACATGTGGGCCAACGCATTAAGTTAGACCGCCGACAGCACATGCAGGCGACGACGACCGTTTTCCTGACGGTTGATTGAAACGGATCGTCCGTTTCCGTTCGTTAATTGGTACTACTACCTACGCGTAGCGTGTTGCTCCCTAAACAACTCCCAGATCAGGCAAAGGAAGCATCGTCTCGTCTGCACGTACTCTACCAAGAAAATGATCAGCGCCATGGAGGCCAGAACATGCACACATGCGGTGCGACCCCTCACATGGGGCAACAGGGCATGCTGCAAACTGAAGAGTCGAAGACCACGGTTCCCTCCCCATGGATAAAAGATCTGGTCTTTTCAGTTATCAGTGTCCGGCATATGTATGGGGATCAAGTGGTGGGGGCAAAAAAAAAAAAAAACCAGTGGCATGATCGGGCACAGCTCGCGTCGGAACAAGGCATCGTGTCACATGGAAGAAACCCATCGCTTGTTTTATGGACCGCGCGGCGCGCGCGCGCATGCGGACCGCGCGGTGACTCCTGTCCCTGTGCAGGTTGACGGCGAGCACATGCCTAGCTACGTCGTGGTAGCCCCCTGCAACGTCCCACGTACGCGCATGCAAATTGCAGCATCACGATTGGTCTGGAATTGTACATTTGTACTCTCTGCACCAGGGAAAAATTTTGTCCAGATTGCAGGGGAGAGATACGGTTGGTGCTGTGCGCCGTGCTGCGAATACTGCGTCCAGTCAGGCAGACTCGAGCTCGGTCGGTCACACGAACAGGCGTGCATGCATGAGGCACGCAGGCCGGTCAATCGCCTTGCACGCACACACACATCCTCGGGTCGATCTGGCCATCTGGGTCGCGTGCTGGTTTGGGTGGAATCGAGTTTCTAGTTTTGTCTTGCGTTACGATTTCCCCTGTTCGGGTGTGTTGTAATCTTGTTGCGGACTCGCGGAGTCGCGGTATATACTCGGTACATGTATATTGCAATTTGCGAGGGGGGTTTGGGTTTCCTCGCGCAATCAAGTGCGTATATACTTAAGACGCGCGCACACATGGGCGCCATGTGTCGGTTGAGTATCCTTGTCAGGGTTTGATCCAGATACATGATGCTGTCCGGCCTTCCAGCCTACAACATGATCCTGGAAATGATGTGATGACATGATGACACGATCTGAACCTACGATTTCCATGATTAAACTGAGCTTCACAACCTCGGGCCACAAGAATTTTCACGTGAAGCCGTTCGAATTGCATGCGAGTATGCAACTTACTCCTACATCACGAAAAATGGTCCATACCGCAAAGGGAAAAAAGAAAGTTCCAAGTGCCATGGTAACCAGCTCACTCAGTGACAAAAGTGGTGAAAGATTCCTAAACACCGGCACGCCACAGCGTCCAGCCGGTGCCCGGTTGTGCGACTACGATGCTTGTCCCCTCGCAAAATCCCATGATGAACGCTAACCATTAACCAACTTGATTACATACGGCGGCATCTGTGTTATCACGGGAACCGCAGAGGCATACGTAACCGACGAAAAAAACGCGGACGAGATGGCGAAACTGCCCCTCGTCGTGCACCGCCTCACCGGGCCGAAAGCCAGTCGCGTGCGCGTGCAGAGAGACGGCGCGCCGCACGTACTGTACACGAGCCGGTGCGCGCGGTAGGAAACGGAAGCGGATCAGGGGGCCATGTGACCGCACGCAGGGCGTGTCTCCTACGAGGCCACGAGGGCAGAGGGAGCCCATCATCCGCTCAGCCGAATCGCCGATCGGGGACACGCGTACGGCGGAAGATCCCGTGGCATTTCGTGGTAGTAATCGACCAACCCTAGGCCCGTTTCGCCGGCAGCTTGGTCTATAAGTTGCTGCTCTGCCCTGCTCGGCCTCATCATCCCAAGCGGCACAGCAGCCTCGAGCTGAACTGAAGCAGGGGAGGGGAGGAGAGGAGAGGAGAGAGCAACGCGTTCACCGTTGAGAGAAGAGAAGGAAGTAAGACGAGCGCAATGCGTCGCGTCACGGTGCTCGTTCTGCTCCTCGCCTGCGCGGCGGCGCGCGCCGCCGCCGCCGTCGTCACCGACGGTGAGTGCCTAGCTTGCTCGCTAACTCTGCTCGATAATCACTGCGCAGGCTCAGCTCTAATTTCACTTCAAGCATCCATTTATGTAGCATACTGTTAGGAAGTTACTGCGGTTTCTGTATAAGCTGTTTTGCTGTTCTGATCGATCCTATCTATCAGCGGCAATGCGGCATGTGCCATTAGTGTCTAAAAGCTCGTAATCAAGCTAAGCTGCCTGCCCCGTGATGATTTACGATCTTGGAGTCATGGAGTGAATAGTAGGATAGATCACCCGGGTCCCTCCATTATCCATATACTGACGAAATGTTTCCCCCGGTCGCTGTCATAGCATGAAGCCACGAACTCGATCATGCGTTGATCATTGGAGTACCATATACAGGGTATACTGTAGTTTGGTTAACCCCACACGGCCAAATCGCATTGGGGCATGCATGCATAATCACAATCTACATGTTGCATGGCTGGCAAAGTAAACTGAAGTACACGTATAGTTAATCTCCTATTAAGGTGTCGTGGTGTGCAGCACCAGATGCCGACCGAGCAAAAGTAGTAGTAGTACAACTATACAAGCATTAAAGCATATGCAGCTGCAGCCCATTTGCAAGAAACTATTCTTGCTTTTTAGTACTAGTCGTGAACGTGTTAGATGCATAATCAGATATGTTCTCTGGTCCAGTGTTCTGGACTAGTAGTATGCAATAATCAGATCTGGAGTATCATCGTCTGCCAGCATTAGGCAACGTTTGATGCGAGAGTGCTTTTGTGCGCTCTCTTGATTTGGTTTCTCGTTTGTTTTGCCGGCCGCGGCCCTGGTTGCGTTGCATGTGGTAGATGGGATGGTAGTGAATGCACCTGGGCCCTGGCCGAGCCAGAGGAACTGACACGGTCATACAGCCCTACTAGCTGCCGGAGCCCAGAACATGCATGTTACACTAACATGGACCCTGTCAGCTTAGCAGTATACCGGTCGCAGTTCCATTAATTAACAGAACACGAGATCAGACAGACAGCCTGCGTGCCTGATCTGATGCTCTGAATCGATCTCTGCTAACCGCAGCATCACCTCCAACAACTTTCTTCAGTTGCAGGCTCGCAGTGCAGCGGCCGATTTGAATATCTGATTTAGTGGATTAATCTGATTAAATTAATGGTGACTAAAAAAATTAACGACGTGTGTTGTGCAGGGCTGTTGCCGAACGGCAACTTCGAGGAGGGCCCACCCAAGTCGGACCTGGTGAACGGCACGGTGGTGCGCGGCGCGAACGCCATCCCGCGGTGGGAGACGTCCGGGTTCGTGGAGTACATCGAGTCCGGGCACAAGCAGGGGGACATGCTGCTGGTGGTGCCGCAGGGCGCGCACGCCGTGCGCCTCGGCAACGAGGCGTCCATCCGGCAGCGGCTCGCCGTGACCAGGGGCGCCTACTACGCCGTCACGTTTAGCGCGGCGCGCACCTGCGCCCAGGCGGAGCAGCTCAACGTGTCGGTGAGCCCCGAGTGGGGGGTGCTCCCCATGCAGACCATCTACGGCAGCAACGGGTGGGACTCGTACGCGTGGGCGTTCAAGGCGAAGATGGACGAGGTGGCGCTCGTCATCCACAACCCGGGCGTGGAGGAGGACCCGGCGTGCGGCCCGCTCATCGACGGCGTCGCCATCAGGGCGCTGTACCCGCCGACGCTGGCCAAGGGGAACATGCTCAAGAACGGCGGGTTCGAGGAGGGCCCCTACTTCCTCCCCAACGCGTCGTGGGGGGTGCTCGTCCCGCCCAACATCGAGGACGACCACTCGCCGCTCCCGGCGTGGATGATCATGTCGTCCAAGGCCGTCAAGTACGTCGACGCCGCGCACTTCGCCGTGCCGCAGGGCGCCCGCGCCGTGGAGCTGGTGGGGGGCAAGGAGTCGGCGCTGGTGCAGGAGGTGCGCACCGTGCCCGGGTGGACGTACCGCCTGTCGTTCGCCGTGGGCGACGCGCGCGACGGGTGCGCGGGCTCCATGGTCGCCGAGGCGTACGCGGCGAGGGCCTCCATCAAGGTGCCGTACGAGTCCAAGGGCACCGGCGGGTACAAGCGCGCCGTCCTCGAGTTCGCCGCCATCGCCAACCGCACCCGCGTCGTGTTCCAGAGCACGTTCTACCACACCATGACCGACGGCTCGCTCTGCGGGCCGGTCATCGACGACGCCTCCCTCGTCGGCCTCCGCAAGAAGACGGCCGGCCGGCGGCTGCTCCTGTAAGACGAACGGCCGCGTGGCATCGAACGCCGTCGCATTCCCTCCATTCTATGAATATATGAATACAAGGCGCGGTTAAACTTGGGGGCAGTTGGCACGACCAAAGTTGGGTGCTAAAATGGGTAGTATTGCTAGGCTCGTTTTTTTGGTTTTGGTGTGTACTCTGGTATATGTACGCGTGTGCGCGCGTTGCATGGTTATACTTTGGAGCTGCGCTCGTTTGGTGTTTTGTTGTGAAGAGGAGAGGTGATACGTGGTGCAAGGTCTGTCACAAGGGGTTTGGTTGATCAACTTAACCGGAGGTGCCAACCTAAACGCACCATCAGACATTATGAATGGGAAGCATTACTAGTGCTCACTTTTTTATAAGTCAATTGTGTATTTTTAATTCTGTTCTAAAAAGCCAGATCCTTTTTGAAAGTTGAGTCATACATTTGAGCTATGCTCGAAAATCAATCGGAAACGAACTTAAACATGTGTAAATGATGTATGAAAGTAAGAGTAAGTTTTATATTTAGCCACATTTTCTTATTAGAAAAGTTTTAATTTGGATCGCTTGTTTAGCTATACTTTTACTTCGGACCAGATAACATTTTCTTTGTTTGCATCTTGGACCACCTTCACTATACATCTATTTCATCCCCACCCAAAACCCGGGTAACTGGAAACAAGAGGGGACACACGCCACTGGCGCCGAGTGGCTTGAGTTCAGACTTTGCGCAAGCTCCATCCATGTTGCACTGTGGTCAAGCTTGGCTTGCTCGGTTTGGTTCGGCTCTGCTTGGCTCCATCATAAGTGGTGTCGATTTTTCTATCTCTTCTTATATGTACCGGTTTATCGTAAAAGCAGGTACAAATATTTACTACACCGTTTTGTCATAGATTTTTTTTAATAAACCGGCACCTATAAAGAGCTACATGTATTGGTTTTTAATTTTAAACCCACATGTGGTGTTAGGAGTTCGGGGAAGGCTTATAGGTGTTGGGTCTAGAGTTCCCGACACCTATAGGGCCGTCCCCTATTTGTTGTTTGTAGTAATAGATACATGAATAACAGAAGTAGGCTAAGTCCCTGTTTGATTCAGCTTAGGATTATTATAATCTAGTTTATTAGGAGTAAGCTGAGACAAACAAGTAGATTATTATAATCTATAAGTCAGATTATTATAATCTGATAAGCTACTCTAGAGGAGCTTTTTTCAGATTATTAAGTGGCTAAAGACCCACTACCCCTACATACTTGAGAAAAATTACCCACCTATGCCATCAACCGAACAGATAGCTGAGGGCATTATAGACTTTAGCCATTCAAACCCAATAATCCATGCCTTCAATAATCCAGACAAATAAACAACTCACAGCTTATTCTATGCCAGCTTATTATAATCCAGCTTATAGTAATCTGGCTTAATAATCTAGATTATAATAATCATAAGTTGAAACAAACAGGGCCTAAGAAACTTTGGATTGTATTATGGAGTACCAGTTTGCTAAATTTATCACAATTGATTTGGTCCTAAGATTTTTTTTTTTTACTTTTGAGACAATTGGTTTCCTTTTCCGTAAAAAAGAGAAAGAACTATGATTTTCTTTAGAGAGAATCCACTCATTACCACTGAGTTCGGCATAGTTCAACAATATGCCACTGACTTTGTCGACATCCATAATATACCATCGCCTTTCACTTAACCTCTACACTTTACCATCACCGTCACACACTGTTAGTTTGCAACGAGGAAAAGACAAGTATGCCCTTAGGAACGTGAAAACCATTAGCACTGAGACTATGCCATGTAGGGCACTGAGAGTGATAATAACTATACAAAGAATAATCTACAACATGAATAAACATGTAAAAAATAGGGATAGCTCAACATATTTTAAGTATGAATTATGTACAGCACGTGTGCAATATAAAAATTGTGCAACTAAATCATATGAGATCTCACATCATAGGACAAAGTAGTGTATCAGTGAGGGGTTTGGAAGGAAAATCATCCATGGAAGGTGCATAGCACAATTTGACAGAACAGTGCATAAAATCCAATGTCCAAGTTTGGCATAACCAAGTTCGACCACAACATGTTCCAGGACAGAAACCAACACATGGCTAAATAAACAAGTTAAGTGGCACAGCAATCGGCACGACCTCTTTCGATGACGACGACGGCAACACCAGCTCTTCAGAAGGGAAGCCGTCCCTTAGTTGCGAGTTGCGACGGCGGCGCTGATGACGACGGCAGCACCAACGGCTGCTCTCCACAAGGGGCGTCTTCTCCCATCTGCGACGACGGCTCTTCAGCAGGGGGCGGCACTGCTGGGAACGGTGCTGGGGGCGTCGCTGGGGACAGTGGGTTGTGGCGACGCTGGGGATGATGGTGGGGGCGACGCTGAGGACGGAAGTCGAGGCGCTGCTGGGAATGGTGCTGGGGGCGCCGCTGGGGACAGTGGTCGGGGCGATGCTGGGGATGACAGTGGGGGCGGCGCTGAGGACGGCAGGGGCGGCGCTGAGGAAGGCTGTCAAGGCGACACTGGCGACGACGACCGCGCCGACGATGGGGACGGCGGTCGGGGTGACGCTGGGGACGGTGGCCGCGCCGACGATGCGGACGGTGGTCGGGGCGACGCTGGGGACGGCGGCCGCGCCGACGATGGGGAGGGAGGCGGCTGTCCCGTAGGATTAGGGCTGGCCATAGCGGCGAGGGGTCGGTGGGGGCAGCCAGCGGATGGGGCGTCGCGGTGGGCGCTGATGCGGCATGGCGGCGGGCGGAGAAAAGCCGCGGCGTCGCTGGGAAGATGGCGGCGCTCGAGAATGGTTGATTGGGGCGGCCTGGTCAGTGCTAGGGTTAGATGGCTCAAAGGGTATTTCGGTCATTACGGGAAAAAAATAACAGTACAAACGGCGTATAACTGACAGACTGTGGACGGCGATGATAAAGTGTAGAGGTTAAGTGAAAGGCAATGGTATATTATGAATGTTGATAAAATCAGTGGCATATTGTTGAACTATGCTGAACTCAGTGGTAGTGAGTGGATTCTCTCTTTTCTTTATCCTACTATCTCTGTTTACCTTTTCTCATAGATTTTTATTCGCGCATACTTAGATCATTCATAGTGCAACAACATGACGAGATCCTCACACCCCATCTATGTTGTCGCTCCACATAGGCTAGGCCCATGTCCCTTAGAGGATCCTCGCATCTTGCAGAGGACACACGTGCCTCATCAGGGGATTAATGAGCAACATGATATTCACCCACATCAAACCATCATCCATGGAAATTTCCTTAGTTACCTTATTATTAGTGGATGTACATTAGTTTGTTTATCTTTTTTAAGAACTTATGTACTTTATTTGATAGCAAGAAGTTTAAAATAACATATTATATAAGTGATGGTAACTTCTCCCATAGAAAGATTAGAAAGATCGCCTAAAGTCAGGCGACTAGGGAAATAACAAGCATGCATATTAGTTTAGCCCGATATAATCTCTTAGGTATTTCGTATCACCAAAAAAAACTATACTCTCTTTGTCTCATTTTAAGTGCAGTCATAATTAAAAGGCAACAAAAGTAATGTACTCAGATTATTAAAAGGCAACAAAAGGAAAAACGGAATTAAAAAAAAGGAGAAAAAGGCCTCCAAAGAAAAAAAGGGAAAAAAAAGAAAAAAAAAAGCCCTTTGACGTTGGAACAGTCCAAACGTCGAGAAGCTACTAGCCCCGCTAGGGTTCGCCGCCGCCTTCCCCTCCCCCATAAATCCCACCAACCCCCCCTCTCCTCGTCTCTCGCCTTCGCCACCTTCGAATCGAAACTAATCCCCCACACCTCCGCGTGCCTCCCCCCAATCTCGAGCGCACGGAAGCCGCCGCCAATGGTGATCGCCCCGCTCCCCTCCATGGCCTCTCTCGCCCTATCAATCCTTCGATCTCCCCCCAATCTCACCCTCACCGTCGTTGCGTTTGTTTTTTTTTTACTTTTTTTTAGGCGCTCCCGAATCAGCAGACGGTGGACTACCCCAGCTTCAAGCTCGTCATCGTCGGCGACGGCGGCACGGGTTAGCCTCGCGATCGCCCTCCCCTCTCTTACGATTTTTTTCGATCTGTTTGGTTCTAGGTTGCGGTATAGGTGTGGTGATGCTTGGTTGATGCGACCTTGATAATGGTTCGCTGAACCCTAGATAGATTGAACGGAGAGATACAGCCACGGTTGTTTTGATTTGTAAATTAAGATCGTTGTAGTGGTTGTTTTGATTTGTAAATAAATTAAGATCGTTATTATAGTTAGAGATAGAGAAATAAGGCTGTGTTATTATAGTTTTGATCTGGCACCGATTAATCTGGCAGACTCGCTCCTCTTCGAGTACATAGCATTGGGACTCGGGAAGGGGATGGTGGGGAAGGGAGGACTGTGTTAGATTTGATTTGTCACGGATGAATGTGAACTCTCTGGTTTTTATTTTCGAAAATTTATAGGATTAAAAATTTCTTGTTTCCTGTGCTCGAAATTGCCAGGCTCGAAAATTTCTGTCTGTTCTGAAACCAGGCAATCTTTTTGATTTGCAGGCAAAACCACCTTTGTGAAGAGGCATTTGACTGGCGAGTTCGAGAAGAAGTATGAGCGTGAGTATCTGCTCCTATTTTGCATTATCATGTATTCTTATGGTGGATCATTGTGTTTTTCGTGTTAATTTGACTGTGGTTGCTGCAGCTACTATCGGTGTGGAGGTCCACCCCTTGGATTTCTTCACTAACTGCGGCAAGATCCGCTTCTACTGCTGGGATACAGCTGGTCAGGAGAAATTTGGTGGACTCAGGGATGGTTACTAGTAAGTATTATTACATCGATTGAATTTGAAGTTTGTCTCATTAGTTATTTAGGATCTTCAGCCATTTTGTCATTCTTTGCTATGCCTAGCCTAGTACATTGTAATTTGTATGAGGAATATAAGCACTGTTAGAATTTTACTATTGTGTGAGACTATTTCTGTGATTTTAGTTGATCCTTTCCAATCCTGTATTTAACTATTGTATTCTCATGACACTTTATGTGAATCCTGGATTTTGTTGATAGTGCCTTAGTGGGTGAATTAGAAAGATATATATAGTTCTTTGTTTAGTTCTTGTGTTCTATAACAATTTGTGATGCACACGATGCTGATATATGCTTATGGAGAGAATTCAGTTTAGCTTTGACTCATAATATGCATGAATGCTGGATTTGAGCATCATATGCCATGCATTTTATACAACTTTAGTACTACTAAATTTGTGAGAAGACTTCTTATCTTGTGGCATTCTGCTGTTTGATTGCACTCATGGGTAAAGTTACTGTATGCTGTGTGTAACAAAGCTCTGAAATTCTATTTATTTTGTACTAACTGTAATCATGTATTCCGCATTGTAGTATCCATGGGCAGTGTGCTATCATAATGTTCGATGTTACTTCTCGGCTGACGTACAAGAATGTCCCAACTTGGCACCGTGATTTATGCAGGTATATCAGTGGAACTGAGCAAATACATTTACCACAAACTGATGGTTGAAACTAATAGGTCTTGATTAATTACAGGGTCTGTGAAAACATCCCAATTGTGCTCTGTGGTAACAAGGTTGATGTGAAGAACAGGCAGGTTAAAGCAAAGCAGGTTACCTTCCATAGGAAGAAGAACTTGCAGTACTATGAGGTGTCAGCTAAGAGCAACTACAACTTTGAGAAGCCATTCCTGTACCTTGCCAGGAAACTTGCTGGGTAACGACCTCAGTTATCATCAATCTTTAATTATTCAGCAACCCAATTACTGGATTAAACCAACTCTGTTCTCTGTCTTTGTCAGCGATGGTAACCTCCACTTTGTGGAAACACCTGCTCTTGCTCCTCCAGATGTCACAATTGATCTAGCAGCCCAGCAACAGTGAGTGTTCTTACGAAATTGCTCTACCAGGGGTGTTTAATTTATGCCTTCAAATTGTTGAACGATTTCTGATTGCTCTGTAATGTGCAGGCACGAGGCTGAACTGGCAGCGGCTGCAGCCCAACCACTGCCAGATGATGACGATGACCTGATCGAGTAGATTTGCAATGTGCTACTTTACATCGTCTTGCGAGGAGCCCTGTTTTTAAGCACAGTTATATCCTAAGAGATCTTTTTTGCCTCGGAGAAATTTTCGTGGTGTCCAAGGTTAAATATGGGAGTTTTGTCGGATATTTGACCAGTTCAGACAAGTTTTGGTTATCGTTGATTGATGCTATAAGGTTACTTCGGGTTAACATATTTGCGCTTATAGCTGTCGTATGATCAATGTGTATGATCCGCTCTCGATATTTGGAGGAAGGTCTGCGTGATGCGTTAGTTTTGAGCAAATATTTATCTTCCTTTGCCTTCGAAGCAAATATTTTATCCTGTAAATTCGGGCGTCGCTTATTTATGCTGTATGGATCGCGCTTAATCTCTGAAGTATAATCAAATTCTACGTGGATAGACGGCACGATTACTGCTAGTCTGCTACTACTAATTCTGTTCGAAGGAGTTAACCTGATGAGAAACTAATTTGGGATTTCTTTACAACCGCACGTGTTTGATGAGTTTGGGGGATTCCCTTGCAATATAGGCGGGAGATGATCGATATCGAGTGAGAGGTGTGTGGACTCTGGACGGGAGCCCAACTTGGCAAAACCTTTTGGGCTTTCAAAGCTGCTCGACGGGCCACTGCCATCCTCTACAAGTGATGAAGTGAACACGATAAGAGAGAAAAAAAACATGATAACCCCCCTTAATTAAGTCTCAAAACGTTTATGCAATGAAGTGCGATACGGGCTTCAGCGAGCTTCTCCTCCAAACCCAATAACCTTGATATCTTCGATAATGCTATCCCAATAAGTTAAGTGTTCGGGGTGGGGATGGGGGGAGTAAGAGGGTAAGATAGTGTTCGGGGATGAGGAGCTTAGAGGTGAGCACCTGAGCAAAGGTATTGTGGGGATAGTAGACAGAGAAGGATGGTGGGGTGAGAGGCACCTCGTCTGACGAGTGGTTAGGTGGCAACAGGTGGTGGTGACGAATCCAGGTATAGGAATCGTTGGAGAATGGAAAAGAGCCTAGAGGTGAGCACCTGAGCGAAGGTGTTGTGGGGATAGTAGACAGAGAAGGATGGCGGGGTGAGAGGCACCTCGTCTAACGAGTGGTTAGGTGGCAACATGTGGTGGTGACGAATCCAGGTATGGGAATCGTTGGAGAATGGAAAAGAGCGTAGAGGTGAGCACCTGAGCGAAGGTGTTGTGGGGATAGTAGACAGAGAAGGATGGCAGGGTGAGAGGGACCTCGTCTGACGAGTGGTTAGGTGGCAACAGGTGGTGGTGACGAATCCGGGTATGGGAATCGTTGGAGAATGGAAAGATGGTAGTGAATGGGCATGAGAAGTGATAGTGGCACGCGGAAAAGCTGCTGCTGGAAGGATAATACGGAATGGGCTGGCGGTAGAGATCGTTGAAGGAAGGATAATAGGAAAAGGGATGGCGGTGGATGTGCCCATCAGCAGGGCGGTGGCTAGGGTTGGCTCTTTACATAGCAAGGTGGAGATGAAATCTGGGCGGTGGCTAGGGTTGGCTCTTTACATAGCAAGGTGGAGATGAAATCTAGGTTTAGATGGTTGATCCAACGGTCAAGAATTTGCAAGATTTGATTGGGCATTTTCATGTAAATGTACTAAAGCGTAAAACACTATCGTACCCCCTTTGTTTTTTTAAATGTACGACGCTATTGATTTTTGGTGCGACGTTTAACCATTCGTCTTATTAAAAAATTATATAAATGTTATCGGTTTTGTTGCGGTTTGTTTTATCAATAAAAGAACTATAACTTTAACTTATATTTCTACATATTTAACTTATATTTCTACATATTTGTACTATATTTTTAATAAGACGAACAATCAAACGTTACGTGAAAAACCTTCGAGTCTTATATTAAAAATCGGATCTAGTATATATTATCATCACTATTCTCAAAACTTTTCAGAGTTAATCACAAATGAACCCAACACTATTTACATGATGTTCGGGGACATCCCCACTCCCTGTCAGCATGTAGAAAATAGATGGGAGAGAATTCATATAGACATCTATACACAGAATCTGCAATGCGAAACTGCTGATAATGGCAGCTTCAAACAAGCAAGCAGCAGCGTTAATTCTCAGGCTTTGGAAGCCGCCTCCTGCCACCGTTGAGGGCCCGTATCAGCTGCAGGTGCTCATCGCTGGACACGTGGAGCTGCAGCCGGAGCTGCGTCAGCAGCTCCTCCTTCTCCCACGTCAGCGCGCCGGTGGCGTGGAACACCCTCATCAGCGCGCCGTACGCGTCCACCTCCAGGCGGTGGATTTGCTCGCCTACCGCCGCCGCCGCCGCCGCCAGCGGCGGCGGAGGTTGCTCGTTGGCCAGGCGCCGCTGCATTATTGGCGCAACGGCCGGTCGCGGCTTCATTGCGGTGGCGGCGCGCGACTTCGTCCTGACGTCGTCGTCGTCGGCGCGCTCTTCTTTGATGTGTGGTTGGCATTGCGGCTGCAATGGCGGCGGCGGCGGCTGGTTCGCCGCCACTTGGGCGTCCCCCGGTGGGCTCCTCGGCGCGGCGCGGTCGCCGTTGTCGCTCTCGCTGCTGCTGCCGTCGCTGCTGCTCTCGCTGTTGCTGCTGCTGCCGCTGCCGGCCGACGAGACGGACTTGGCGTCGTCGTCGGTCTCCTCGTCGCTCATCTCCTGCTGCTTGTTGACGAACACGGCGGTGGGTGGTGGTTCGTTCGCGCGCACCACCTCCACGTTGCCGTATCCTACGAGCAGCTCCCCCTCCTCTTCTTCCATGGCGCGGATCCGCTTCGAGTTGGCCTCGACCCTCCGGACCTCGCCGGCGGCGTCGTGGTCCGTCGCGTGGCGGCTCCTCTTGATCTTGGCCCATTGGTGGGAGGGGGCCGGCGGCGGGGCGAACTGATCGGCGGCGGGGCGGTGCTTCGCGGCGGCGGCGGGGGCGCGGCGGTTTGCGGCGGCGTTGGGGCGCGCCGTCGGCTCCCTGGCGCCCGGGATCTCCTCGCCCTGCAGGGAAGAAGGCGCGGCGAGGTGTCAGGCTACGGAAGCAAGATTCCAAGAAGAGAAGAAGAGGGTTGGGTGGCGGCGGCGGCCATGGATACCTTGTAGGTGGCGACCCAGATGTCGCCGTCAGTCAGCACCTGGCGGACGCGGACCATGCTCGGGGGCACCGTGATGGCGCTGGGCGAGCCGACGATCTTGACGGTGAACTCGCCCTCGCCGTCGCCGTCGCCGGCGCGCACGAGCTCGGCCAGCTTCCACATGCGGTCGTCGAGCGCCTCCACCAGGTCGCCGGCCTCGAGGTCGGTGGGGATCTCGAGGTGCGGCGGCGGCGGGCGCACCGAGACCCGCCGTATGCGGCCGGAGACGACGTCGCCGCCGTCCCACCGGATGTTGTACTGGTGGCCGTTCCCCCACACCACCACGCCGAGGCGCCACCCGCCCATCGACGGGTCCCCGCACCACGCCTCCACCTTGTTCCCCAGGTTGATCCTCATGGCCGCCGCCTCCGCCTCCTCCGCCGCCGCCGCTCCACCACCGGCTTGGTTGGGATCAAGAAGAAGAAGAAGAAGCCCTTGTCCCTTACCAACGCAAGAACACGAGAAGAATCGATCTCACGACGAGTCGACGACGTCCGACTAGTATATAACGACGAATCGGCGAGGAGACGGGCGCGGCTCGATCCGTCGAGTTCATCGGCGAGTCGGATTCGCGCCCGCGTCGAGTGCGTAGATGGAAACAGATTCGTGTTCGAGTTCACGGACTAGAACTCGATCAGGGCACGACGACCGATCGGTCGAGGCGGATTCGGCGGCATCAGCACAGCATGAATCCGAGCCGAGGCCACCCCCCGTCTCTCACATGTTTTTTCTTTTTTTTTCCTTCTTTTCTTTCTGGGCCCTAAGCCCAACTAGCAGCGTGTTGGGCCGGTCCAAAATTTGTTATGCACACAAAAAAAACTTAGGGATACGTATGTACAAATTTTATAGTGCAAACTAGCAAAATTCCCGTGCATTGTAATGGTTATTGTAATGGGTGAAGAAAATTGTTTCAATGAGCATGGTGGCTACGATAGCGCAAATTTCTTGGGAGTATACATTGTATATTTTGTAATATTCATAGTGTAGGTGGAATTAGAGCTAAAAATGGTTAAGAGCATGTCCATTCGATAATCCTCTCCAGTCTATAATAAAAATGTCATCCGTATGGTCAATATGATAAGCGTAACGTTGGGGAGAGCAGCCAACCAGCCACGCCTCGCTCTCGACTCTTGTGGCTCATGTAGTAACGGAGCTCGAAGATCGGGTCGCGGGTCGATTTACATGGATGATTATAAGAAAACTATTAATACCACTTTAAAATAAAATTATTTATCATAGACTAAAGTTTGAAACCATATATAGTATTTAATTTTATCATGTATTATTATGAGTCGGTTGTAATGCATGGTTATTTTTTTAATTGATATTAATAAACAGTTTTTTCATATCGTAAAGAGTAGCCATAGTAGAAGAAATGTTTTTCGCTAGCTATCACAGCAAGCTCACTGCACTCAAATAGCAGAATCGCTTTCACTAAAAAAAATCAGAAGTAAATTGTATGATGAATAGAAAAAAAAGGTGATCAGGTTAGGTGTCCTACGACAAATGAGAAATTGACGAGGAAAACAATCTTGATGCAAACACAATTCGTTTTGTTGATGATTGTATTTTTCTTTAAAAAAGAAAAGCATGCTTGTTTTATTTTTTGAAAAAGTAATTCATTTTGTCGGTGAATAGCGTCTACTTTTATCTGATCCCTGTATGTGACCTCCTATTTAAGCTTTAGTCTATAATAAAAATGTCATCTATGTTGAGTAAACCATTTCGCATGCATGTATAAGAACCAACACGTGTATACAGTATACGTGTAGAGTTTGACTGGTCGTGTGATGTGTGGACAATATATAGCGTGCGGACTCTAATATAACATGTCTCGTGAAAAAAATCTATTTTTTTTCACAATTATTATTCTTTATTTCAAATAAATATTAAAGTAGAAGTTTAGGCTATTTTGATGCCAACAATAAAAAGTCTTAATAAAAGAAAATATTTTTGAGCGGAACTGAATCCCATTGATTAGCACATTCTAGATCACAGTGGCACTTGACAGTAATTAATTCCAGTCTGAAGCTCCTATTTTTTTTTTTCAAAAAAGAAACAAAAAAGATTGTACTGTTGTACATTACGGGACCTATGTGGTGGTTGAGATCCTTATCCTCTCGCTCTCACGGTCTCTCTCCCATTTTATCCGTTTACGGGGAATTTAACTATTTGCCACTATTAGATTTGTTAATTATTTAAATAACTTCTTATATTTTCGTAGAGAGAACTTCTCCACTTTTTACCACTTTTGTATACGTGGTGCACTAACTAGGCTGCCCCGTCATCTTCTTCCTCCCGACGATGATGAACCGGATGGTGCTCTGCGTTGGCGGTGGGCTCTGTGTGCGGGTTCCTGATGATGACGCTCGTCGGTGTTGTGTAGGTCAAGCTCGTCTACATCGGCTGCGGCGCCGGCAACGCCACCGCGTGGGGCGCCGTCGTGCCTCTCTTTACGCTCGTGCCCACCGCCATGTTGATCTACATCAGCATTGTCTTATACGCCTTCACCCACTAGCTCAACCACCGGATCTTCAACAAGCACACCAATGCTAGTAGTCTATACTAATATAAAAAACATCAGTTGTTTCTTTTCTACATCCACCCAGAAAAGTGTACCCAGAAGTTTCCTAACCATTGGATCCCTCGATCTAACGTCTCACATTGTAAGTTGGATTAGCACTTGGATTAATAGATAGATTGGATTAGCGCACGCCGTCCCCCACACCCATGTCCCAATCTCCCACGGTCCAGGCAAGTTCGATATTTTTTGGGGCCACTCCTTTTCCATCGCGCTAACTCCCGTCGGCTCCCCATCGCCGCCGCGGAACAATCGCATCGCTACCGCCGTCTCCACCGCACCCTCGCCCTCACCGCCGGCTCAAACCTCCGCCTCGTCGCCCGCTTCGCCCATCGCCATCGCGCCGCCGCCTCTCCCCTCCACCCCCTAACCCTAACCGCACCTCAAATTGCGTGAATATTGCCCGTCTCGCTGCAGAATGATCCTCTTGAACGTTGTCGCCCGCCGTTTCCCGCCGCTGTCTCCCGCCGGAGCCGCCCCTGCTTCCCTGCTCGCGCCGCGATGAACAGGAAGGAGAGCTGGGGTCGGCTCACACCGCCACCACCTCTCCCTACGGTGAGCATACTGTCACTTTTAGTTTTTCATTCATTCATCAGATTCATTTTTCATCCATCTCATTTAGTTTCTCCATCTATATCAGTCCATGTTCAGCTGGTCACATTCAACATTGACACAAACACCTTAACTGATCGACATAGTAATATAGTATGGATCAAGACAGTGTTATTTTCAGGAAATTGGTATGTCGAGAGGTGGTTCTCTCACCTGACCATGCAGACATGCAGTACACATTGAATCCTTCCTCTAAATTATACGCTGTGTGATTCTGATCTGTTAACTTTATACAGGTCAATTATTCCTGACAGCAGTTGCTTGAATGCTTCAAAGACTTCTGGATCCAACCTGAAGCCCTTATTGTTTGAGGTCAACAAGTTCAGGGAACAATGAAGAATCGTTAAATACTTCTTTTCAAAAAGAATAGTTAAATACTAAAAGCAGGAAGGTTTCATGAAAGGTTTCAACGAGAGGGGAACCATGAATGAGCTTTGGTTGCTTATATCAGATTGCTCCTTCTGACGTAAATTTTGTTACAGCCTTTCCACAACGTATTATGCAGCTATCAAATTTGTAGCTATAAATTCGATGTTGTATTATATACAAGTATTGAAATGAGGTATGCCCTCATCTTGTTTCTTGGGGAGGAATAGAGGCAAATGGCAAAGGGCGAAAAATTGGCCATCAGTACGTCAAATATCATTAATTTGATTCTTTTCATAAGGAAAGTTGTTGCTTCAGTTGAAAGTTTATGATTGGCCGTTATGGCCTCCACACTAGACTGCTTGTTGGATCTTTTCTATAGGTTTTTCATATTCTGGTTTACTGCACATGCTACGAGAAAACCCAATAAGTATAGCTATCCATATGTTTCTTGACGAATTCAGCCAATAGTAATAACTCAGTCTTAACTGGATAAAACTATGTTCTCACTCTTGCATGATAACTATAGGGCTAACTGAATAACCTGAAATTTTCAGGGCATAATAGTATGTTGCATGCCGGTAACCCTAAAGTAGCAATGAAGAAACTCATATGTTACATACTACAAATCCCAAATTCACGAATACGACAACTTTGGGTAACTTTGAGAATTTAATCAAGAATAAGTACCGTTAATGCTATCCTGTGTTTGTCAACGACAATTATATTTCTGAATATTTTTTAACCTCTGAGTATATATACAGGTTATGTAAAACCCTCTGCTACTCTGCTTTTTTAGGATTTATTTGTGGCTTGTTTTCCCCATTGCCCACAAAGATCCTGATTTCACTGTTGAAAAACCATGGCCCTGTTTAGATTCTAACTGTTTTCTTCAAACTTCTAACTTTTCCGTCACATCGAACTTTCTTACACACACAAACCTCCAACTTTTCCGTCACATCGTTTCAATTTTGACGTGGAACTAAGGCTGTGTTTAGATCCAAAGTTTGGATCCAAACTTCAGTCCTTTTCCATCACATCAACCTGTCATACACACACAACTTTTCAATCACATCATCTTCAATTTCAACCAAAATCCAAACTTTGGATCTAACTAAACATAGCCTAAACACAGCCCATGTTTTCCAGCCTTACACCTGCATGATCTGGCTAGAATGGAAAAAAACGAAAAAGGGTTAATTGGAATGATAAATTAACATGGATCTATGGGCCTCGTTGACATCGGGCCTGGTCACGCATAACCTCGCTCTCCCTGACCGTTAAACTGACCGTTACTCTCGCTCGCACCCGCCCTTGCTTCTCGGGCGGATCCGGCGGCCTCCAGTCTAGTCCAGACCACGCCTCCCTCCTCGAGTTGGAACGCCGCCGCCGACTCCCCTCTCTCCAAGCCAGCACGTGGCAGCCGGCGAGGAGGGCCACGGGCGGAGCGAAGCGGCGGCGACCTCCTCCCCTCCCGCACGCATATCCTTCACCAAAACTTTTGCAAAATCAATGTAATTTGAAAACTATCACTTGGAAAATGTTTCAAAAGGTTTCCTATATGTTTTCCAAGCCTCACATTGCAAGAAAAATGATATTTTTGAATGAAAATGCCCTTTTGGCTCTCTTTTGAAGAAACTAGATTCTTAGTTTTGGCCAAAATGAGATTGAGAAGGAATTTGAGAAATGTTTCAAAACAAAGTTGGTAGAGAAGAAAGTTTGTAATGTTTTTGGTATTCAAACCTATTTCAAAAATCAAATATTTCAAAAGTTGTTTGAAAATCAAATTCGACCAAAAACCCCTATAGACCATAAAAGGTCACCTCCTAGCACTTGAGTGAGTTTTGTTGCAAATCATCATAATCTTCAAATATTATGGGTGGTTAGCAATATTTAAAAACTCACACATTTCAAAAATTGCTCCAAAAATCAAGTTTTTATTGAATTTTATTGTGTGGGTTGCCGGCTTGTGCAAGGACTGTGCACAGCCAGCAGGGGGCCTGGCGGTCTGACCGGCGCTATATGCGCGGTCTGACCGACCAGGTACGGCGGTCTGACCGGCCACATAGGGCCGGTCTGACCGGCCGAGGTGGGCCTAGGCAGCTTTTGTCCTTTTTCTTGTCCTTTTTCTTCTCCCTTCTTCCCCTACCCGACTCCATCTCCTCCCATTCAGTTTTTTCCTTCCCCAACTCGAAAACTCTCTCTCTCACCTCCCCTCAAACCCTAACTCCTTCCTCCACCAAATCCCCTCGGTTTGACCGTGGATTTCTCTTCGGTTACACCGTAAGTGATTCTCCTCCGCTTCCTCTCTCTATTCCATGGATTGGTTTGTGTTTTTGTTGAGTTTTTGATCCATGGCTTGGAACCCTAGGTGAAGCACGAGGTGTTCTTCCATTTGCACCAATAGATGGTAGTTTCTTGGTGTGATTCATCTCCTCCAACCGGTAAATCACTCTCCCTCTTGTGCATTCACTCAAATCGATCTATTTCACCCTAGGGCTATGGGTAGTTGTTCCAATCTTGATGAAATAGGTTCAACCCTTTGATGTTCATGTTCCAATCCTGTGCTATATTGTTCTAGCAAATTTTAGACTCAAATGTGTAGATGTGAAAATTTTTGGATGCTTGAACTTATGGGAGGAGGTTTGCCCGGAGCCACAGGCCTTCTGACCGTGGGTCAGCCGCCGGTCTGACCGGCCGGCAACCGTCGGTCTGACCGGCCACCAGTGGGCGGTCTAACTTGGCTGATGCCGTCGGTCTGTCCGGCCACCATGGGTGGTCTGACCGGCCTGATGCCGTCGGTCTGACCGGCCACCATGGGTGGTCTGACTTACTGGCTGCGGTCTAACCACCCCTCCACTGGATATAGGCAAATTTTCACCTCTCCAAATTGTTTCTAGAATTATTGCTAATATCCTATCATCCTTTGCTCTTTTTACAATGATGCCTCCCCGCACTTGCCATGGTCGTCGTGCGCCCACTCCGGATCCCGTGAGTGAGCCTAAGGAATCGAGCGGAGAGGATTACGCTCACAATGATGAAGAGGTTGAGGCAAATGTTGAGGGGGCTAGTGAGGTGGCAAGTGGAGATGATGTCAGTCGTAGTGGGGAGGATGAGGATGAAGAAAGTGATGATATGCACTTTGATCCCTTCATCCAGTTTGTGGTGAACATGAGGAATCCAGTACAGTATACCATCTTGAGGCATCATGATCAGTTCTTGAGGCTTCGGGACACTCCGGATCCCCGTTTTCACACCGCTTTCCAGAAGACTGTGTATGAGCAGGTTTATGCAGGGAAAGCATTTGCAGAGCATAAGTGGATTTCTTGGAGAGACATCAATGAGACTCCAGAGTTTGAGAGCTTGCATTATCTCTTCAAGACTGTTGGCATTGACCGGATTGTGACCCTTAAGCAAGACTACAATGAAGAATTGATTCGACAGTTTTATGCTACAGTGTGGGTGGCTGGAGACTATAGTGAGATGAAGTGGATGTCTGACACCCTCTAGTGTTCTATCTCTCGGAGGTAGTTCCGGCGGCTCCTCAATATTCGCTTGGATTTTGGAGATGATTTGCATGAGGAGCACACTCACAATTCATTCTCCATAGACTATCTCTCTCAGTTCTATGAAGATGGAGCACGGTACACACATGGGAAGGTTGCCGGCTTGAGGACTATCCCCAGTGTGGTTAACATGATTGTGAGAGCCATTATCCTCCCTCGCATTGGCAACAATGATGACATTAGGGGGGTGGCTTGGCACGTCATCGATGCAATCATTCAGGGTCGTCAGTTCGACATTGTGTCTCTCATGATGCGAGAGATTGCTATCTCCAAAGGGACATTCACTCAGGGAATGTATTATGCCCCTTACATCATGAGGTTGATTCAAGACAAGCTTGGGGCTACTTGGCAAAATTTGAAGAAGCACAAGCAGTACAAGCCCTATCTTCATCTTGGAGCTCCCCGTGCTCCTAGGGAGCTAGCTCAAGCTCAGCACCTCCTCCTCCTCATGGGTATGATCCAAATGCTTTCTTCCATCCATAGTATGCTTACTTTGGAATGCAACCCAATGAATACTTCTACCCGGTACTTGGGGCTATTAATACCCTAAGTGAAAGCATTCAACGCTTGTCTACCGGGCATGAAGCATTGCATGAGGATGTTCGTGGCTTGCGCACCGATGTTAGAGACTTGAATGCTTTCGTGGGAAGATTGCACACTAGAGTGGGTGCATTGGATTCTCGACTACAAATGTTGGAGAGCACCCAAGCTTTTGTATATCATCGTCTTCAGCTCGTCCTCCTTCTCCTCCATAAGAATGAAGACCTTTTTGGTACTTGATGCCAAAAGGGGAAGAAAAATGTCCTTAGGTGTGCTTTATGTCTTGTCGGTTGGGACTAGTAGTAGTGAGGTTAGTGTCCTCATATCTAATAGGTTAAGGTGGTTTGGGCTATATTTTGTATGGGTATGGGCTATTACTCTATATTGTGTGTTCTTTATCGTTTTGTTGGACTCTGTGTCATTTGGACCCTTCGTGGTCTTGTAATAGCCTATGTTTATTAGTGAGCCCTTTTAGGATGATTTGTGACTTATGTGATTTGAATGGTTAAGTGATGTGAACTTGTGCGATGATGGATGGTGTATGTGATATTGATATATGTGACCATCTTATGCTTATGGATGAATATTTCTTGAAGTTCACATTGAAATATTGCTTATGTGTTTGTGCTTGTTGAAATGTGAAATTGAAATTTGCATTGGCTCCATATTTGTTGTCTATGATTGATATGCACATGTTTAGGGGAGCTTTTGATTTCCTTTGCAATATATGTCCATATGTTCCTTCTTTGTTTATATATATTTGTTGTGTTTGTCATCAATTACCAAAAAGGGGGAGATTGAAGCATCTAGGCCCCCGTTGTTAATTTTGGTAATTAATGACAAACGCTAATTGTGGACTAACTGTTGCTATTGAGATATATTTTAAGTTAGGACCATGTCATGTATGCGCATGGATGACTATCAATGGATTAAAATTTGATGGCGCGAAGCGAAAAAAAGAAAACGGTAAAACTAGTGCTTTAGTTTTAAAATTGATCGAGGTGAAGGGCGATCAAATTTGCTAGTTTATTTTTTAGTTTCGCCGTACTATCAAGGGGGTAATGACCTAGCAATGAGATGATTTTAATTGCCACATTAGGTCATTATGCATTTAGACTTGTGCTCACATTTTATCTCACACACACAATCACTTTGTATTTC